ACATGCTGATCAGAGGACAGTTTTTTTGGAGTCTCCCACCTTTTTGTGGGTTCCAAGGATTAAATTCAGGTAGACAGGCTTGTTTCATTATTGATTGTTAATCACTTTTATCTGCCGAGTCTCACAGTCTCCAGCAATTCCTACTTCTTCTTTTAAAATTTTAGAGATCTGTGGAACATAGGACCTAGGACATGCTAGGTAAGCACTCTCCCACTGAGCCATCCTAACTTAGTAATTACTCTTGGATTTTCTTAGTGATAAAGATTTTTTTATTCAAATTCTGTAGTTCCAACATTGATCTGGTAGCCTGTTTTATTTATCTTTCTCTGAGCATAGGAAATTCTTAATCTGAATGCCAGGTTTCCTTTACTTGTTATCTCTTTGACAATTCCTTTTCTCTCATTATTCCCTGGCTTTGTAGAACTTTCTTTAGGATGTAAGCTCCTTGAAAGCAGTCTTTGTCTACTTCCAATGGGGTGCATGTGTGGGGTAACATATATGATAAAAATTTATTGCTTTGATAGTTTACATGTGTATATATGGGCTTGGGGGTGTAGACCAGTGGTAGAACATTATTTACCTAGTATGTATGAGTTCTTGTCTTCAATTCCCAGCAATGTAAAAAATGAAACGAAATGAAATTTAAAAAGCCAGGTGGCCTGTGTAGTTTAGTTTCAGGCCAGGGTTATAGAGGAAAATCCTGTCTCCAAAAAAAAAATATTTTTTATGTGGGAATAAGCATAATTATGTTGTTTTAATTTTAATGAATTATTTCAGTTACAATCTCACTCTTTAGCCCTGGCTGGAACTTACTGTGTAGACAAGGCTGACATCAAAGTTACAAAAATCGCCTGCCTTCACCTCTCAAGTGCCAGCTTGATTAAAGGCTCCTACCACTATGTCTGGCTCTCAATTTGAACTTAAAAAAAAAAAAAAGAAAAAAGGTTTATAGTACCTCTTTCTATATTTAAAGATGTCTGTAGCCTGTGTCAAGATCAGAGGACAACTTTGTGAAATTAGTTCTCTAATTCCACCTTTACTTAAATTTTGGGGATTGAATTCATCTTCCCAGTCTTGCAAGTGCCTTTACTGGTTGACCTATTTCTCCAGCAGTAAATATCTAAAATATCTACCCTCCCCCCAAGCATTTTTGTATGCTACTGGTGACAACTTTTTAGTTTATATTTCTCTCAGTTCGTTTGGTCATTATTCTTGAAGAATATTTTTCTATATGTCAAATTGACTAATTTTCTTACAGTACTTACACACTGCCATCTGACCTTCCTTTTTTTAATTAAATTTTTTTTTATGGAGGACTGGAAAGATAGTTCAGTGTTTAAGAGTACTGGCTTCTCTTCCAAAGAACCCAGGTTCAGTTCCCAGAAATCACACGGCAGCTCACTACTGTTTGTAACTCCAATTTTAGGAAATCTTACACCCTCACACAGACATACATGTAGGCAGAATACCAACACACACACAAAATAAAATGAAAAAAATTTATGAAAAAAAATGTGTGGGTATGAGTGTTTTGTCTACATGTCTGTCTGTGTAACATGTGCATTCCTAGTGCCCAAGAAGCCCAGTAGAGGATGTCAGATCCTCTGGGATTGTAGTAACAGAGGGTTGTGAGTCTCCATGTGGGTGCTAGAAATAGAACCTTGGGTACTCTGGAGGAGCAGTTGGTGTGCTTAACCTCTGAGCCATCTATCTCTCCAGTCTCTGGCCTTGGTGTGTGATAAGAAAGACATGTATATTACTGTTTGTAATTGGACTTTTCTTTGGGCTGCCAGCTCACAAATAACAGCATGGGGAATTGTTATTAATATTATTGGAAAATTATTATTAATTATGAAAGCTTGGCCTTAGCTTAGCCTTTTCCTCAAGTAGCTCTTACAACTTAAATTAACCTGTTTCTATTAATCTATGTTCTGTCCTGTGGCTCAGTTACCTCTCTACTGTCCAACATTTTCAGTGTCTTCTTGGTGTCTCTCATGCATCTAGATTCATCCAAAGTTCCTTTCTCTGCCTGAAAGTCTAGCCTATTCTCTCCTGCCTAGCTATTGGTCATTCAGCTCTTTATTAAACCATTCAGAAGGTGCCTTGGCAAAGATGTATCTTCAAAGTGTACAAAAAGATACCCCACAACAAGTTTTGTATTTAAATAGTTATTTAAAGTTTTTGTTGCTGTAGATTGAATCTAGATAGAGCCATATGCATCTAGACAACCACTCCACTACTGAGCTATATCACCCAGCCCATGATTCATTATTGTTTTCTAGAGATTTATTTTGTTTTTAACTGTATGTCTGTGTGTGGGCATATGCATATGAATGCAGGTTCTCCTGGAAGCTAGAGACATCAGATCTTCTCAAATCAGATTTCTGTGGAGCTGGAGTTAAAGACTTTTTTGTGAGCTGCTAGGAATGTAGGTGCTAGGAACTGAGCTTGGACTGTGGAAAAGCAGTACACCCACTTTTTAAATTTTTTGGGGGGGAAGATTTATTTGTTGTATTTTATGTGTATGCTTGTTTTACCTGCATGTGTGTTTGTCCACCACATATGTCCCTGTTGTCCACAGTGGTCAGAAGAGAGGATGTTGATCCCCAGAAACTGGAGTTACAGGCGATTGTAAGCCAGTGTGCGGGTGCTCGGAATTGAGCCTGGTCCTCTGGAAGAATAGCAAGCACTCTTAACAGTTGAGCTACCTCTGCAACTCTCAGTAAATATACCTACTGGAACCATCTCTCCAGCATAAAACTCTTATTTATTTATTTTTTTAAATACACTCTCTGAAGCTTAGTATGACCTTGAACTTACAAGTGAGTCTGTTTCATAAGTGCCGTTTATTTTTTTTTAGATTTTTTTCTTTCTCTGTTTTTCATAAGTTTGAATTCTGTGCTTTGGTATGCATTCCTTGTATTTTCATCATGCTTGGGATTTGTTAAACAGACTCTTAATTTGTCTCACTAAATTGGGGACTCTCCCCACATTTTTTTTGCCTCATCCTTTGTTTACTTTTGGGGTGGGAATAGACTTTTGTTTTTGTTTTTGTTTTTGTTTTACGAGACAGGGTTTCTCTGTATTGTTTTAGAGGCTGTCGGTCCAGCCCTGCCTCGAACTCACAGAGATCCGCCTGCCTCTGCCTCCCAAGTGCTGGGATTAAAGGTGTGTGCCACCACCGCTCGGCTGGGAATAGACTTTTTATTTTGTTCCACAGCGTGGTTGAAATTGTATTCTCCCCCCCTCCTTGTTTTTTCTGCTTTTTTGTTTGTTTCTGTGTAGTTCTGGCTGTCTTGAAATTTGCTTTGTATACCAGACTGGCTTCGAACTCAGAGATCTGCCTGTTCTGCCTCCCAAATACTGGGATTAAAGACATGAACCCCTACCACCCAACATTCCCCCCCCCCCCCCATTTTTAAAGTTTGAATATTTTTAGTGTATTTTCAGTGTTTTGCATTTTTGGCTTTTGAGCAGGGTTTCTCTTTGTAGTTCAGGCTAACCTTTGAAATTCTATACACCATGGGATGGGGCTGGAGAGATTACTTAGTGGTTAAATGTGAGTACTTTTCTTCCTTAGGACCTCAGTTGAGTTCCAGAATCTATATCAGGCAGCTCTAAGCTACTGAATAACTCCAGCTCCAGGGTATCTGACACCTTTCTGACCTCTGCAAGCACATGGCATACACCTACTTAGACATACACATGAATAAAAATAAATAATAAAATATTTTTAAAAAAACAATCTATAGACCATTCCGGTCTTGAATACAAAGATTCTCCTGCCTCTCTGCCTCCTAAATGCTGAGATTAAAGGTGTGCATCATCACAACTAGCTTCTAGCATGCCATTAAGATAGTCTGTTAGGGGTTGGAGAGATTGCTCAGTGGTTAAGAGCACTTGCTTCTTTTGCAGTGTACCTAGGTTCCAATTCCAGCACCCATATAGTGGCTCACAATCATCTTTAATGCCAATTCTAATCCCATGGGATCCAATGCCCTCATCTGACCACCATGAGTACAGGCAACTAAGTGCTTCTGTGGTGCACTGATATATATGCAGGCAAAACACTGGTGCACATAAAATAATACATCTTTAAAAGAAAACCATCCATTGACATTTTGATGTTCTTGATACAGTATTTCTTCGCTACAGATTTTCCACTCTCTTCTCTCTCCCTTTTACCTTTCTCAATACTTGAGGTTGAACCTAGGGCGTGGTGCATAGTAGACAGTCACCATACAACTGAGCACATCCCTAACTCTCTATACTTTTTATTTTTAGACAGAGTATCACTAAGCTAGGTAGGCTTTAAATTTTTTCTGTAGCTCAGAAAGGTTCTGAACAGGTGATCTACACCAACCTCCAGCGTAGTTCACATTATAATCCTACTCTGGTATGGTAACCTATAGTCTTTTTAATGTCTACTTCAGTAGTGTAATTTTAAATTTTATTTTAATTTTTTAAACGTGTATGGGTTTTAAAACATGTATGAGTATTTTGCTCGTGTATTTGTATACCGCAAGTGTGCCTAGTTCCTGCGAAGGCCAGAAGGGGTGCCAGATCTTTGTTTGAACTGGAGTGGAAGGTGGTTGTGAGCCACCATGTAGTTGCTGGGAACTGAAACTGGGTCCTCTGCAAGAGCTGTTATGTGTTCTTAAACTGCTGAGCCAGCTCTCTAGCCCACAAGTTAAATTCTTAAATTGGTCGTACTGCCATATTAGTTGGTGGTAGTATACCTGGACTTTACTCATCTGACTATTGTATTTTCCCTTTTATAAATGATTTATCTTTTCAGTTGTATTATTTTATGACATTAAAATTGCCTTCTATAGCCTAAATTACTATATAAAACATCATAAATTACCTCAAAAGACAAAACAATAAAACCCAACTCCAACAAAGCTATAGAGATATTGACACATTTATCCTAGGTTTAAATGTAATATGTTGCTTTCTTTCCTTCCTTTTACTACTTTTTTTCTTTTTAAATGCTGTAGTGTTCTAAGAACCAAAGCATCTAGGCTGGATGGAATTTAGCATCAGAAAAAGCCCTCTTTCTGTTCAGAAAGTTGTAAAGTGCATGAAGATGAAGCAGGCACCAGAAATCCTTGGCAATGCAAATGGGAAGACTCAGAACTGTGAAGTGAATCATGAATGTTCTGTATTCCTCAGCAAAGCTCAACTTTCTAACAGCCTACAGGAGGGGGTCATGCAGAAATTTAATGGCCATGATGCACTCCCCTTTCTTCCAGCAGAGAAGTTGAAAGATCTTACCTCCCGTGTTTTTAATGGAGAACCTGGTGCTGCTCATGATGCTAAATTGTGTTTTGAGGCCCAGGAAGTGAAAGGAATTGGTACACCACCCAATACTACCCCTATTAAAAATGGCTCTCCAGAAATTAAACTGAAAATCACAAAAACATACATGAACGGGAAACCTCTCTTTGAATCTTCAATATGTGGTGACAGTGCTGCTGATGTGTCTCAGTCAGAAGAAAATGGACAAAAATCGGATAATAAGACTAGGAGGAACAGGAAGAGGAGCATAAAATATGACTCTTTACTGGAGCAGGGCCTTGTGGAAGCAGCTTTAGTGTCCAAGATCTCAAGTCCTGCAGATAAAAAGGTATTTGTGAAGGATTCTGTTATGTGACAATGAATGGTGAGCATGAAACCCATGTGTGATACCTCAAAAAGTATGATGGCAGGTGGAAGGGATGGGGAGCCATCCTGGTGCTAGCAGTTTCTCTCTTTTTGCCTTGGTCCTGTGCAGGTGATACTGATTGAGGCTTGGCTACTGGTTGGTTGTTGGGCTTCCAAATATCTGAAAATTGCCATCTTTAGATACCGTGGCCACTAGTTGTGCCACTTGAGAGGCCTACTTGGGTTATCCATTCAGGATTTTAAAATGGCTTAAGAAAAAAAAAAAAAGCCAGGTGTGGTGGTCCAAACCTTTAATTCTAGCACTCAGTAGACAGATCGGCAGATCTCTGAGTTCAAGACCAGCCAGGGTTACATATTAAGAGCCTGTCTAAAAAATTCAAGTCTGTCACTTTTCATGACTTCGTTAGGTTTATTGTTTTTGTGGGTTCCATCTCCCAGGTATTCTTAGACCAACTGATCAGTGGAGATACATTTGACTTATATGTGCCATACAGTGAATGACAGAGCAGAGCTGTGCTATGCAGAAGGTGCTATTGTCATGTTTTCTGCATTTGCCACTGTCTACTTAGTGGTCTCTTCAACCAAGTGGGTTAGTAGTTGGCTGCCTCCTTGGCATCTGAACTATGTCGCACACCTTATTCTTGGTTTTTACTGTAGAGCCCAGTACTTTGCATAAAAGTGGGCATGTGCTAGTTAATCCATCAAAGCCTGAAGAGGAAAAGCCCTGACTTCAAGTGGAAGAACGTGTGGTTCTAATTCTGTCAGATGGTTTGTGTCACCAGTATCATAAAAATGACCTGCAGAGTGGTCCTGATGCTTGAGTGCGTATAGCTCATGTAAGACAGATAAGTGACCTTGGCCTTCATACAAAAAAATAGGGACACCAAGCAGATCCCTGCTCATTCAGGTTGGTGGTACACTGGGAAAACTCAGAGCAGGTAGATTGAAACTCATAAGAATTGGGGACATCATGAAATTTGAAATATTTCATTTAAAATCGTAGTTGTGAAATTTGGTTCAGAATTACCACAAATAAAGAACAGCTAAAATTTCCTTGAAATCCTTAAAACCACAGAGTACTTTGAGGGTTTAAAAACAGTGGTTTCGAAGAGCTGTTCTATTCTTGCTAATGTAATTCCAAAGTTAAATCTTTGTTTTTCCTTTTTTGGAGGGGAGGAGGACATGGCCTCACTATGTAGCCCTTACCTGGAACTCATAGATATCTGACTGTCTCTGCATTCTAAATGCTGGGATTTGAGATTAAGGGTATGTTCCACCATGCCCAGCCCAGAAGTAAATCTTTTATAAGACCAGTATAAAAACCTGGGCTGATTTAGAGGTTTTTGGATATGCCTATTGATGTGGTGAACTTTATGCTTTCACAGTTTTTTGAAGAGGCCTGTGCATGTTGTCACAGACCAAACTTTTTCTGCCACTTGATTTGGTTAAAATTACTCTCTACTTACACAATGGGGTAATACTGAGATGCTGTGCAATCATTTGAGTGCTAATATCTCTTGAAAGTATAATATGAATCTCCTTTAGCCTTCAGTGCCATGCTTACAAATCTATAACAGCCAATGAAATTTGTGACGAATTATGCAACAGGAGCAGTGCCTAGAGTATCTTAGGGAGAGTTGCCTCTTAGGAGGATGTTCAGTTTCAGAGATGGAAAAACTGAGCTTAAGAGAGCTTTGAACACTCAGAACACATGCTCTCACATAGGTACAAAGTGCTTGTCTTTACACTCATAGTGGGGCTAGGGTCCCTGCTTCAGCACAGGAGGTCGATTTGTTGATCGAGGCACATATTCTCAAAGACCAGCTATCAGATACGTATGAGGTCATAGTAGGGGGCAATGTTTTGAGGGTTCTGTGAATAAAACACTAACTTTGTAATATTGAGAACCCGCTATGTCTGGCTTTGTGATAATGCTTTAAGTGGGAATGAGAGAAAGCAATTGTGAGAAGTAGTTGCTATTGAAGATGAAATCTGAAATACATAAAGGGGAACATTCTCTGAAAACTGAATTCAGGGACTTAAGTATGAAGTCAAGTGGGTCTTCCAATGAATTATATCCCCAGTCCTCTTCATACCTGTTTTGTGAGCCACCATGTGGTTGCTGAGAATTGAACTCAGGGCCTCTGGAAGACCAGCTAGTGCTCTTAACCACTGAGCCATCTTTCCGGTCCATTCATACATGTTTTGAACCTTTAATTAACTTCTATTTTAAACCTCTGATTAACACTTGTTCTTTATAGATAAAAGGTTGAAATTAAGGATAATTGCTGAATGTTAATATTTGTCTTTTGTTGTTCACTTTTCAGATTCCAGTTAAGAAGGAGGAGCCCTGTCCAAATACTGGCAAAGACAGAGACCTCTCATTGAAATACAACGTGGGTGATTTGGTGTGGTCCAAAGTGTCAGGTTACCCTTGGTGGCCTTGCATGGTTTCTGCTGATCCACTCCTTCACAACCATACCAAGCTTAAAGGTACCAAATACTGACTTTTTCCCATATTTCTCTTCTGTACCAAACCTTTCTAATTTGCATGTTTCTCATGTTTTGCTAAATGGCCTTACTAGCTACTTTTGCTTCTTTGTTCAAGGTGGGTGATTGGTTCAGATGTGACACATTCATTTTCTAAATGTAGGCTTCATCTGATTGATCTGTACTAACAGGGAAACAACTCTTTAAGAAAACAAATTAGATTTATTTTTTATGTTTAAGTGGTTTGCCTTCATGTATGTACATGAACCATGTGTACAATTGATGCCCATAGAGGTCAGGAGGTATTGGCTCTCCCGAAACTGGAATTATGGATGGTTGTAAGCTACCAAATAGGTGCTAAGAACTGGACCTGGGTCCTCTGCAAGAGCAAGTGCTCTAAACTACTGAGCCATCACTCTCTAGCTGGGGAAACAGTCTTTACCTTTGTATTAGCTCCCAAGTTTTATGACAGAAATTACTACTTAACTAGATAGTGATTGCTTATTTGTAAATTAATATTTTATAATATATTAAGTTTGAATTATAAAAATCCTCATTAGACTTGGGAAGGGGGAAAAGCTAGAAATGATAATCCTTGACAGAAAACTTGAATATATAAATTTGCTCATGAAACAGCTAAAGAATATATTTTAAATGTAGTTTTATTGATACAAAGCAGATACTTAAAATAATGTAGCCCATAAGTGTGTTAATTACATAAGAACAATCCACAAAATGTGGTTTGAGAGTAAAAGTAACAGGATTCTGTGGTGTGAGTGGGTTTAGTTTTTGTTTTTTAGACTTCGTCTGTGTAGATCAGACTGGCCTTGTACTCATGATCCTTCAGTTTCAGCCTCTAGTGCTGGGCTGTGTGCCACTGTGCCTGGCTTTGGAAAGTTGTTAAAGTTTTGAATTTGATTTGAAGAAGGTGAGGTGTGTTTGGTATAGAGTTTGGCTGGACAAGTTTATTCTCTTGACCTGTGTGTCTCTCAGAAATATGGACAGCCACAGCTGTGGCTATACAAGATTGATAATCTGGCCTAGAACTGCTGCTGGCCACCCAGTCTGTGGCCCTTCATGGTATAACAAAGCATCTGCCTCCTGATGTTTAGCCATAGTATTGAGGTTTGACAGGAGTGGTGCCTACTCCTATTTGAGTCTGGATCCTTGTATTGTCACCTACATGCCACACAGGTTTGCTGCTGGCTATGGGCAGGCAGTTGCAGGGAATGACATAGGACGATGGCTCTTGGCAAGTTTGGACTGGAAGGGATGTGCTCAAGGTAAGGAGAACCTGAGCACCATGCTGTACCCTGCCTTGACTTCTGTCGTAAAGGTGTAGAATTTTGCTGTGGTGATGAGAAACAGTTATATTCTATAGGACTGGTAGCATGAGAGGAACCCGTGGTTTAGTTTTGTCTTTGTCTCCTTACAGATCTTTTGATAATTCTGATTTTTTTTCCAGAATGAGGGGAATTGTTCCCAAGGTGCTCTGGGAACTCTGGTATGTACCTCAAGTTGTCTAGACTGGAAATGTATATGTATACCTTTGAGGGAAGATGAACCCTCCTTGTGTCATCTATAGCCTTGGTGCAGCCATATGTAGTGGTTGTATGAGGAGCTGCTACTTTCTTTTTCAGCTGTTCAAAACAGTAAATCTCCTAACTTCTACATCATTTGTACACTGTAATGTCTGGAATTTTTAGTCTATTTACACAGAGCAGTGTTAAAATCTCTCACCAAGGGATGGCAAGATATCTCAGTGAGTAAAGGTACTTGCTGCCAATCCTGATGACCTGAGTTTGATGTCTAGTTCTCACATGATGGAGGAAAAAAATGTGCACACTGTGATGTGCACATGCATGTGCATAAACACAGAATAAATGTTAAAAATTAATAATTTTCTCCACTGAGATATCTATCATCTTCTACTTGTAGTTCATATCAGCTTCTCCTTTATCTAGTTTGGTGCTTTCATGCCCCACCAAGTTCTAAATCGTAACCTGAAGCATGCTGATGCCTGTCCTTTGTCCTTTGGAGCTCTGTGGTCTTTTGGACATGTGACTTTCTCTATTCTTTTTTCTTGTTCCTGTACATAGCTGGCCTTGTTTGCCTTTAAGGCTTTTCTTTTTTCTCAGATTTAGGTCTGAAGTAGTCTTGTGTTTGGTGGGATTGACTGTGAGTGCATAAATGGCTATTGCCAACTTGCTAGTGTCCACAGAATTGGGAGAATTTCTGGACAAGTCTCTCTAGCTCAGAGGGCCAGGGGTCACAACATGGACTGTTTTGATGAGCATTGATGAGGGAAGAAAGGAGCACAGTACACAATTGAACTCCATGATGTTTAAGGGGGCAGGCTTTCCTAAATATGGTAGGGGTCAGTTATAGCATGAATTCTAATTGTTCTTAATAAAAACTCAGAGTCAGTTAATGCTGAAGATCAGAGAAGCAAAGCAGCCAGCCATTAGAGAGTTCTCACCTCTAGCAATGCTTAGACCAAAGGGAGATACTGTCCTCAGACTGCCTAGACTGCACTGGTCATCACACTGCATCTCTGTCTCTTGCCTCCTACGGCCTTATATTCCTCTCCCTGCCAAGCCATATCACTCCTGACTCCGCCTCTTTAGAGCTGTGATTAAAGGCATGTCACTCCAGGTGCTAGGATGATCTTTGTGTGTGAGCTGTTTCTCTTTTAGACTGGATCAATTTCATGTAGCCCAGGGTAGCTTTGAATTCACAGAGATCTGTCTGTCTCTGTCCAGTGCTGGGATTAAAGGTGTGTGCCACCATAGCCTGTCCTCTATGGCTAATTAGTATGGCTGCTTGGATTAAATGATGATGCCATCAGCCTTGGCTAGACATTAAATTTCTTTCTTCCTTAAGAAATACTTTCAAGTTATGTGTATATGTTTATATGTATGTATGTATGTGAATGCAGGTTCCCATAGAGCCCAGATGCATCAGATCCCCTAAGTGGTTGTGAGCCATGCATTGTGGTTGCTGGGAATAGAACTTGACTCCTGGAAGAGCAGCAAGTGCTCTTAATGGCTGAGCCATCTCTGCAGCCTAACATCAACTATTTCTAAACATCATGTAAATCAATAGCAATTCATTATATACTGTAAAAGATTTTATTATGAAACAATGGCACATATCTGTATTAACTTTCAATACTATGAAACAAATTAAAGTAGTGGCAAAAGCCACATGCTGCTTGGCATTCCTTTTTTTTTGTTTCTTATTCGCTTAAAGTAATATACACAGTGGGCTTCATTGTGACATTTCATACATACATACATACATACATATATTGATCATAGTCAGTCCCACTACTCTCTTGTCTCCCTCTCACCCCCTTTTTCCCAGCAAGTTCTCCTACTTTTATGTCTTTTTCTTTTTTTTTTAAGGAAAACAAGAACAGTTAGTTTAATTAGCATTATTAATAAGAGGAAGAATTATTTACATGAGAATGGACATCTCAACAGTAGCTATATCACTGTTCTTCACGGCATTTTCAAGTTTTCATATTTCTAAACAAATTCTAGTGAGTGATAAATTTTTTGTCTAGTATGTATAAGGCCCTGGATTTGATCCCTAGAACTATAACACAAAGCCTGTATATATGGATGTGTATGTGTGTATATCAACAAAAAAAAAATGAAAAGGTAGCTTGGCATGGTGGCACATTCCTTTAATCCTAGTACCTGGAGGCAGAGACAGATGGATCTCTATGAGTTCAAGGCCAACCAGGTCTACATAGTGAGACCTTTTCTCAAAGAAACAACAAAAATTTAAAAAGTAGTCTTAAAAATTTGTGATGAGGGCTGGAGAGTTGGCTCAGAAGTTAAGAGTACTGACTGTTCTTCCAGAGGACCCATGTTCAATTCCCAGCACTCTGCTGACTGCTCACACCTGTCTGTAACTCCAGTTCTAGGGCACCTGATGCCCTCATACAGATATACATGCATACAGAACACAAATACACATAAAACACATTAAAAATTACTTAAAATTTTATTTTTTAATTTCATCTATAATATTTGCTTTTTTAAATTTTTATTTAAATTAAAACAATCTTATTTTAATACCAATCCCAGTTCCCTTTCCCTCCCACCCTCCCATTCCCTCCATCATCACCCCATCCCATCCCCTCCATCCACTCCTCAGGGAGGGTGAGGCCTCCCATGGGGGGATCATCAAAGTCTGTCACATGATTTGGTGCAGGACCTAGGTGTCTTCCCTGGTATATCTAGGCTGAGAGAGTATCTCTCCATAGGAATGGACTTCCAAAGCCCATCCATGGACTAGGGATAAATACTGGTTCCATTGTCAGAGGCCCCATAGACTGCCCAGGCTCCTAAACTGACACCCATATTCAGGGGGCCTGGTTTGGTTTTATGCTGGTTCCTCAGCTGTCAGACTGGAGTCGGTGAACTCCCACTTGCTCAGGTCAGCTGTTTCTGTGGGTTTCCACAGCGTGGTCTTGACCCATTTGCTCATCACTCCTCCATCTCTACAGTTGGATTCCAGGAGTTCAGCTCAGTGCTTACCTGTGAATCTCTGCTTCTGCTTCTATCAGCTGCTGGATGAAGGCTCTATGATGACATTTATGGTAGTAATCAATCTCAATATAGAGGAAGGGCATTTAAGTTAGCCTCTCCACTATTGCTTAGATTCTTAGTTGGGATCATCCTTGTGGATCCCTGGAGATTTCCCTAGTGCCAGATTTCTCATTAAGTCCATAATGACTCCCTCTATCAAGGTATCTTTTTCATTGCTCTCCTTCTCTATTCTTCCCCCAACTCGACCTTCCTGATCCCTCATGTTCTCCTCCTCCCTCCATCCCCCCCATGTTCCCAGTTTATTCAGGAGATCTTGTCTCTTTCCCCTTCTCGGGGATCCATGTATGTCTTTCTTAGGGTCTTCCTTGTTTCCTAGCTTTTCTGGGGTTGTGGACTGAAGGCTGGTTATCCTTCACTCTATGTCTAATATCCACTTATAAGTGAGTACATACCATGTTTTTCCTTCTGTGTCTGGGTTACCTCACTCAGAGTGGTTTCTTCTAGTTCCATCCATTTGCCTGCAAATTTTAAGATTTCATTGTTTTTTTTCCCCCCACTGAGCTTAGTACTCCATTGTGTAAATGTATCATTTTCTTTATCCATTCTTCAGTTGAGGAGTATCTAGGTTGCTTCCAGGTTCTGACTATTACAAATGCTGCTGTGAACATAGTTGAATAGATGTCCTTGTGTTATGAATTTACATCCTTTGTGTATATGCCTAAGAGTAGAATTGCTGGGTCTTGAAGTAGACTGATTCTCATTTTCCTAAAAAACCACCATACTGATTTCCAAAGTGGCTGTACAAGTTTGCATTCCAGCAATGGAGGAGTGTTCCCCTTTCTCTACATCCTCTCCAGCGTAAACTGTTGGTGTTTTTGATTTTAGCCATTCTGACAGGTGTAAGATATCTCAGAGTTGTTTTGATTTGCATTTCCCTGGTGGCTAAGGATGTTGAACAATTTCTTAAGTGTCTTTCAGTCACTTTGGGTTCCCCTATTGAGAATTCTCTATTTAGTTCTGTATCCCACTTTTTAATTGTATTATTTGGTGTTTTGATGACTAGCTTCTTGAGTTCTTTAGGTATTTTGGAGATCAGCCCTTTGTCAGATGTGGGGTTAGTGGAGATTATCTTTCCCATTTTGTGGACTGCTCTTTTGTCTTATTGACTGTGTCCTTTGCCGTACAGCTTCTCAGTTTCAGGAGGTTCCATTTATTAACTGTCAATTTCAGTGTCTGTGCTTCTGGTGTTTTATTCAGGAAGTAGTCTCCTGTGCCAATGCATTCAAGGGTACTTCCCAGTTTGTGTTCTAAGAGGTTCAGTGTGGCTGAATTTATGTTGAGGTCTTTGATCCATTTAAAATGAAAAATTCATAGTGAAAAGTTAACTCCTGCCTGCCTCTACTCAGTTGAGAGGTAATTTTTGTTTGTTTGTCTGGTTTTTTTTTTTTTTTTTGGTTTTTGTTTTTCTTTTCCGAGACAAGATTTCTCTGTTTAGCTCTTGCTGTCCTGGAACTTACTTTGTAAATGAGGCTGGCCTAAAACTCAAGACATCTGTCTGCCTCTATCTCCCGAGTGCTGGATTAAAGTTATCCACCACTTTTTTTTTTAAGTTTTGTTTTGTTTTTCGAGACAGGTTTTCTTTGTAACAACCCTGGCTGTCCTGGAACTAACTAGCTTTGTAGACCAGGCTGGCCTCAAACTCACAGAGATCTGCCCGTTTCTACCTCCCGAGTGCTGGGATTAAAAGTGTGCACCATCACCATCCCGAGTGCACCATTTTTTAAAAAATGTTGTATGAATGTTTTCCTGTGTGTATGTATGTGCACTGTGTGTGTATCTAGTGCTGAAGGAGGCCAGGAAAGGCACTGGATCCCCTGGAACTGGAGTTATGTACAGTTATCAGTTACCATATGGGTTCTAGGGACTGATATGAATCCTCTGTAAGAACAACTAGTGCTCTTAACCACTGAGTCATCTCTCTGGCCTTAAGATTTTTTAAAAAAGATTTTCTTTATTATGTATACAGTATTCTGCCTGTGTGTATACTTGCATGCCAGAAGAGGGCACCAGATCTTACAGACGGTTGTGAGCCACCATGTGGTTACTGGGAATTGAATTCAGGACCTCTGAAAGAGCAGTCAGTGCTCTTAACCTCTGAGCCACCTCTCCAACCCTTAAGGTTAAAAAAAATACTTTTTTTTCTTTTATATGTATGAGTGTTTGCCTGAACGTATGTTTATGCACCAGGTGTGTGAAATCCATGTTGGAGGCCAGAAGAGGGCATTGGATTCCTTGGACCTGGAGTTACAGATGTTTGTATAGGTGCTAGGAATTGAACCCAGACATATGTGCAGGCAAAATACCTATACACATGAAATAATAAAAATTAAGCGTGGTAGCATACTCCTTTAATTCCAGTACACTAAAAGCAGAGAGTTGGACTCATGTTGAGCCACTTTATTAGAGGCATCTTCTTTTGTTTGCTTGTCCATCAGCACCCCCACCACACACCAAGGTTTCTCTGTGTAACAGCTGTAGCTGTCCTAGGACTCACTCTGTAGACCAGGTTGGCCTCAAAATAACAGAGATCTGCCTGTCTCTGCGTCCCAAGTGCTGGGGTTAAAGGCGTGTGCCTACTACTCCCTGGCAATTGGAGGCATCTTTGAAAGTTTCAATGAAGATGTTTTTCTTCTGGGTGGTTTAGCTATCCAGGAAGTCTGGTTTTATTTCCTTTAGGATCAGGGCTAAAGCTGTTTTTTTCCTCTTGTTACTGAGATCTGTCCTTTTGACTGATTTACCTGAGTTCTAACTCTCCTTCAACGTCAGCAAAATCTGAAATTTCAGGGGGTAGTAGTCTCTTTGTTCATCCCTCTGACTGCATTAAGAGATGTTTCTTCCTGCAGCTAAGAGTGACAGCAAGGAATATGAGGGGATTTTCTGTGGTCTCAGCTGCTCTTTGAGGCTTGAGTGCTCTTATTCTAAGCACTGTGCCCATGGTGGCTAGAGGATGGCATCAGATCCCTGGAACTGGGTTGACCTGTCATCAGTGGGTAAGGATGAATGGGTTATTGAGTCCATCTCAGTAGATTGCCTTTCAGTGCTGCTGTTTGGAGGTTTGGAAGTTCCCTTTTGCTGATGTCTTGTCCTGTCTACTGAAAGGGGAAGATGAGAAGGATATTGAAAGGGGAAGATGAAGGAGTGTTCTTATTTCAGCTTCTCCCCCTGCCTGCTTTTGTACCTTCTCTGTTATCTCTGATTAGTGAATTTTCCTCTTGGGCATGGAGTATATTAAGGATAAAAAGGTAAAATTTATGGTGAAATTAAACATAAATACCACCAAGTAAAATAATTTCAAAGCATTAGTAGATTTGCCCAATTTCATCCCAAATTCTAATGTTCCTGGTTTTTATTTTTAAAATTAGGTCAGAAAAAAAGTGCACGCCAGTATCATGTACAATTCTTTGGTGATGCCCCAGAAAGAGCTTGGATATTTGAGAAGAGCCTTGTTGCTTTTGAAGGAGAAGAACAATTTGAAAAATTATGCCAAGAAAGTGCCAAGCAGGCACCCACGAAAGCTGAGAAAATCAAGGTGATAGAGGTTCCTTTAATGTATTTTTTAACAAAAAATTTAATTATTTAATTTATTTTATTTTGACCTTATAGTTGCTTTAAGTGGTTTCTTACATTGGTCATTTATCTTATTTATTTACTTACTTACTTATTTATGGCAGGGTCTTAATGTGTATCATTGACTGACCTAAAACTATATAGATTAGCGTAGCCTGGGATTCATAGAGATCTACCTGCTTCTGCCTGTAGCCTTGGAATTAAAGATGCCAGTTACCAGTGGGGTGTGATGGCGCATGCCTTTTTCCCCAGCAATTGGGAGGCAGAGGCAGGAGCATCTCTGTGTGTTCAAAACCAGCCTGGTCTACAAAGCAAATTCCAGGACAACCAAGGCTACACGGAGAGAAAGGGGGGAAAAAAGATGTCAATCACTATGGCCAGCCTAAACATTTCATTTACTTTTATCCAAGCATGTTATTTTTCATTTACTCATTTGATGACTCACAGAAATAAATTATTTTCTGATTTTTATTTCTTTATAAAAATTATATTAGGTAAAGCCGTTGGTGTTGATTTCTAGTTTAAAGAACAATATAGTTGTCAGCTGAGGTCTATCTAAAATTTTAGTTGAGTTTTTGTAAGTTTTCCTTATTTGATATTGTAAATGCTTTTGAGTTATCTTTTATATTTTGTAATAAGATTCATAATGACTTGTCTGTTTTTCCAGTTGTTAAAGCCTATTTCAGGGAGATTGAGAACCCAGTGGGAAATGGGTATTGTTCAAGCAGAGGAAGCTGCTAGCATGTCAGTAGAGGAGCGGAAAGCCAAATTCACCTTCCTTTATGTGGGGGACCAGCTACACCTCAACCCTCAAGTGGCTAAGGAGGCTGGCATTGTTGAAGAACCTTTGGGAGAAATGGTGGACTCTTCAGGGGCCAGTGAAGAAGTTGCTGCAGACCCTGGGTCTGTGAAAGAAGAGGATATTCCCACGAAGAGAAGGCGAAGAGCCAAAAGGTCTAGTTCTGCTGAGAACCAAGAGAGTGACCCTAGCACAGAAAAGAGTACCCCTCCAAAGATGGCAGAGGCTGAACCTAAGAGAGGAGTAGGCTCTCCTCCTGGAAGGAAGAAGTCTACAGCTTCTGCTCCACGGAGCAGGAAAGGAGACTCAGCATCCCAGTTTTTAGTCTTCTGTCAAAAACATAGGGATGAGGTAAGTACGCTGGTGGGTTCTGAGTTATTTGTTATGCCACATAATTTCCAAATTTAAGGAAAATTCCGTTATTGCAAATCCTCTATTTCTTAGTACACTGCTTGAGCATTGTTTAGTTTTTAGATGTATACATTATTGTTGGAAAACATCTATTTGCACTCTTGTTCCTCCAAAGTGGATAAAAAGTTCCAGCAACAGTGGCAAGTAGGAAGTAGATTTCATTGGGTCCTCCTTTTGCTGGAAAGTGGGCTTACTCCTTGACATCCAGCTAACATTTTCTCTTAACAAGCTGTTGTGAAGCATTCAGTGTGGGTCATGCTCACTTTATAAAAATGGTGCATTTGTTAGCACTGAGAATGTTGAAGGTTTATTTCTATGTAAATAAGTATGTAACTACTTCTATTTTTAAAATAAAATATACCATCTATTGGTGTCATGTCTCATTTCCATTGTCAGGAACCAAGACTCCTTATAGTCTGAGACTTGAAGCCCTTTCTATTATAGTGTTCATTTTAATTTTAATTTAATTTTAATTATAGTGTTCATTCTAATTTCATAGAATTTTTTGTTCAGAATTCCAAATCTGTATTAAAGTCACTAGTAATAAGTAGTATCTGTGGCTAGAGAGATTGTTCAGTAGTTAAGAGAAGTTACTTCTCTTGTAGAGGCCCTGGATTCAGTTCCTAGCACCCACACAGTGGCTCACAACTACCTGGAACTAGATCCAATATCTCCTTTTGGCTTCCATGCCTACCACACATATATTTGCTATGCATACATACATGTAGGCAAATACTCATATATATATAAAATAAAAATAAATATATCTTGGGGGGAAAAAACCAACAAGAAATACGATTTAATTAGTGAGATGGCTTGGTGTGTTAGGGCAATTTTACCCAAGCCTGGGACCCATTTGGTAGAAGGAGAGAACCATCTCCGTCATGTCCTCTGACCTCTACACATTCAATATGGCACACAAATACAATAAATACCTAATATAATTTTAGAATGAAAGAAAGAGCAGGTCAGTGGTGGCACATGCCTTTAGGCTCAGCACTTGGGAGGCAGAGGCAGGTGACTCTCTAAATGCTGGGCCAACCTGGGCTACAGAGTGAGTTCCAAACTACACAGAGAAATTCTGTCTCAAAAAAAAAAATGAGAGAGAGAGGGAGGGAGAAAGAGAGAAGAAATGAAACAATTTTTTGGTATGGTTGCGCACGCCTTTATTCCTGGGAGTTGGGAGGCAGAGGCAAGTGGATTTCTGGGTTCGAGGTCAGCCTAGTCTACAAAATGAGTTTCACAGCAACCAGAGAAACCCTGTCTTGAAAAACTAAAGGAAAACAAATAGTATCACCTGCCCAAATATTATCCATGAGTGTTTAACTAGCTCCTGCTTTGTGGCAGGCAGCATGGCCTAGTGCAGGATTTTGAGGAGTTGTATAACTGAGTGTTTAGCACATGTTATTTTTTTTCTCTACATGGTAGCTTAGAAGTCTTCCCAGAGAAAATGATGAACTAGTGTCTTGATGAAGAATTAGTAAGCCATGTTGGGCATGATGGAACATAGCTTGTAATCTCAGTATTGAGTTTGAGGTTAGCATGGGCTACATAGCGAGGGCTGTAATCTCAGCACTATTGGGAGACTGAGGCAAGAGGATTGAGTTTGAGGTTAGCCTGGGCTACACAGGGAGAACACCCATCCTTTCAAAAGAAAAAAGAAAAAGACAAAAAGGAACCAGTAGCTCTTTCCTTGCTAATAGAAGGTTGTTAGTATTAGAAAAATCTATGGAACTGGAGGCGTGGATCAATGATTAAGAGCCCAACCATTCTTGCAGAGAGTTAGAATTCTACCACCCATGTCAAGTGGCTCACAACTGTTTGTAGCTTTACCTCCAGGGGATCCAATGCATCTGGACTCCATGGGTACACGGGGGCGCATGCACACAAGATCATTTACTTATTTAGGCATAAAAGATCACATTGTGTAGTTCTGACTGGCACAGAAGTCACTGAGATCTCCTTGCTTCTGCTTCTGTAATGTGTACACTACTATGTCTAGTAATCAAAATCAGTTTTAAAGGTCTGTCAAAAGCTGAATGTTGTGACATACAACTTTAATCCCAGCACTTGAGGGGTGGAGTCAGGCAGATATCTGAGTTCAAGGCCAGCCTTACCTATATAGTGAGGCCTTGTCTCTAAAGATTGCTCAGTGATTAAGAGCACTAGCTGCTGTTGCAGAGGATCTGGGTTCAGTTCGTAGCACACATGGTACCTCATAACCATCTGTAACTCTAGTTTCAGGTGTTCTGACACTTTTCTGACCTCTAGATACCAGGTATGCACACGGTGCACAGACATATGCAGGCAAAACACAAAATAAGTTAAAAACAGACAAACAAAAAGCCTAGGTCTATATAGTAGAGGAGTTTGCCATCTCAGGAGAGGAAAGGATTACTTTCTTTTTAAAACATTTTTTGATTATTATTAAATAAATTTTATTTATTTGTTTGTGTACCACTTCTGTCCCTACTGCCCTCAGAGGTCAGAGAAGGGCATCGCATCCTTTGGAATTGGAGTCACAGTCATTTCTGAGCCAGGACTCGAACCTGATCCTCTTAGAATAGCAGCCAGTGCTCTTTAGCTGCTGAGCCATCCCTCTAGCCTCAGGGAAAGGATTTCTGTAATAAGCCGAACTGACTACAAACTGTAAGGGAAGTGTCTTTTAATGGAGGTTTTTTTTTATGTGTCAAGGATACCATATACGCCTGAAATGACAAGATTTGTCATCAGTCAGTTGTGTTTTTGTTTTTTGTTTTTTTGTTTTTTGTTGTTGTTGTTTTGTTTTTGTTTTTTTTGAGGCAGGGTTTCTCTGTATTGTTTTGGAGCCTGTCCTGGAACTTGCTCTGTAGACCAGGCTGGTTTCTAACTCACAGAGATCCGCTTGTCTCTGTATCCCGAGTGCTGGGATTAAAGACGTGCACCACCAACGCCTGGCATCATCAGACAGTTTTAAGGGACGAAATGTCAATTACAGGTGAGCCTCAGTTGGCTGATAAGCATACTAAGTGTTGCTTAAACCCACACATAGACAGGGACTTACAGACTGAATTCATAATGATGCGTTATTTCATAGTCATCAGATGAGCAACAGTGAACTTGGAGTTAGCTACTTGGGGCTTGAGAAGAAGAGCAAGATAATAATTCTTGTCCAGTGCTGGTGAGGAATAATTTATCATACTTGTTATAGAGAAAAGTTTGGCAATACCTGATGTGCTTTGTTTCTGTTCTATAATTTCATGCTTAAGTATTTACTCTAAAATAATTTCACCCTTGCATTGCACCAAAGGAAAGCACAGCAATATTCAACTTTAAAAATTGTTAGTGGTAGTTGTGATCTGTTTCTGTAGCATATTGCATATTAAAATGGATTTATTAGATGTTGAAGTAGGAAACAAGCTGCTGAACACTATGTAAATCCTGTTGCTTCTGTAAAGTCTGAATAATACAGTATATCTACTATTTACTTGTACCTCAGTATCTGTCCGTGTTCCTCAAAAAAGAGTAGTCAGCTGAGAAGGTGTGTGCTTCTGCCCAGGTGCCAAGTATGCCCAAAGAAGGGAACCATGGCTAATTGGATCTTACATGGTACAAACCACTTAGTAGTGTGTGTTCAATTTCCATGGCAAAACTTCTGTGGAGAGGGTATGATGATAAACTCTAAATGGATACCACCAGTATTTGACACCTTGGCTGGAATATAATTGATGAGGAGCTGTGTGTTCTTATCCTTTGTAAATTGGGCAGGGCTATGTATGCCAAATAGGAACTCCAGCTAGTCATAGTCCAGCATGCTCTAGGCTATTTCTTTGACATCTGAACCACAGAAAAGTAGGTGTTTGAGAGTCTAGACTACTGCCCAGAGATCTCCTACACTTTTTTCTTTCTGGGACCCAGGTTCATTTCAGTTAACCTTTGTAGTGCTAAGAATTGTAACTGAAAACCTAGATTAGCACCGTGATGAGAACAATGTAGCTCAAGGTGAAGGTGCGCAGTTTGAGTTCACTTAATACTCATCAGTCCCATTCCATTCAAGCCTCAGGCTGTGACTGTGAAGTCCACCAGGACCACCATGTTGGTTTCAGATGCTGTTCAGAGGAGGATAGCAATGTTCACAGTTGCATGTTGTTCACCCCCAAAGGCTGTTTTTGCGATAGGGTCTCTCTATGTAGTCCTGTCTGTCCTAGAACTCTTTATGTAGACCATCCTGGCATTGAATTCACGTCTTTGCCTCAGTGCTGGGATCTGGGATTAAAGACATCACCACCATGCCCAGTTAGGGCTACTTTTTGTTTTGTTTTGTTTTGTTTTTCCATTGTTTGCTTTGTTATTGTTGCTGCTGCTCTTTGGTTTTTAAATTTTGTATGTATGTGTGAAAAAGTGTGTGTGTATGAGCCCTCCGAGGTTAGAGGTGTGTCAAATCACTGGAGCTGGAGTTACAGACAATGGTGAGCTACCCTTGTGTGGGTGCTAGGAATTAACCTTGGGTCTTCTGTAAGAACAATACATGATGTTAATGTTTGTAACTGCTTAGCTAAACTTTTTTGTTTGTGTGTGTGTGTATATGTATGTATGTATGTATGTATGTATGTATGTATGTGTATGTGTGTGTTTTCCTGAGACGGGGTTTCTCTGTATTGCTTTGGAGCCTGTCCTGGAACTCACTCTGTAGACTAGGCTAACTTCAAACTCACGGAGATCCACCTGCCTCTGCCTCCCAAGTGCTGGGATTAAAGGCATGCGACACCAATGCTCGGCCCTTGAAAAACATTTTTAATGATTTATTTATTCTTATTTTACGTGCTTAGCCAGCATTGATATCTATGTGATAGTGTCAGATCCTCTGGAGTTACAGTTCTAAGCTGCCATGTGCCTGCTGGGAACTGAACCTGGTCCTCTGGAAGAGCAGCTAGTGCTCTTAACCATAGAGCCATCTCTCTAGCTTCTCAAAGCTGTTTTTATATGGTATTGAATTAGCCAAGGGCCAGCTTTGGAGACACAGGGTAACTCTTAGGTTACATGGACCCTCTTTTGCTAGTGGCTTATTATATTTTTATCTCCTCTATTCATTTTTAAGGAGTTTCTCTACACATTTTCTTCAATTGTTTTGCCATCTTGTTTAAAAATATTGTGTGTGTTCACACTCATGTGTATATGTATGACTGGTCCTGGTGGGTCCTCATGCTTTGGTTTATCTATGGTGGTCAGAGAATAACTATATGGTGTTGGTTCTCTTCTTCCATCTTTACTTGGAGTCTGGTTATTGAACTCAGTTCCTGACTTCAGCCTCTGACAAATACAAAAGCTCATGAACTATCTTGAAATAAGTGGTGGGTCATAGTGGGTTGCAGAGCTTAGTGTGTGTTTGTTCTTGTATCTTTTCTCTATCCCTACCTGAATTCAGCTGCATATTAGAAACCCATGGGAAGCCTTTGAAGTACAGGTGTCAGATTGACTTTGTCTTAGGCAGGATCTAAACACTATTGGCTTTAACTCCTGGGGTTGTTGCCATCTGCAGTTAAAGCTGGGAGTTACTGATCAGTGATTACTGTGTGCCTTACATAGAAGACTTGTGAAAATGCAGATTCCTTGCTAGTGAGTTGGGAGGGGCCATTCTTATCATATTCCAAGGGTACTGGTCCTCAGTAAGTGGAGAATCTGTTGCCTTTGTAGACCAGTTGTAGCCAGTGGTGCTGGCTTAGCTTAGACAAAAATTGGGGCTTGCTTGTTAACTGTCGTCTGTATTTCCTATACATGACTTGGACTGAAAGATAGGGTGGCTACTGTAGTTGATGAGGATGACAAGCCAAGACTTCATTCCATGTTCAAAGGAGAATTTTTGTGCAGCTTGCTGGACTACTAATTTTTCAAGGATGCCTAGGAAATCATAATTTTAAAAAAGTGTGTGTTTGCTGGACATTGGTGGCACACGCCTTTAATCCAAGCACTCAGGAGGCAAAGGCAGGTGGATCTCTGTGAGTTCGAGGCCAGCCTGGTCTACAGAGCGATTTCTAGGACAGACTCTAAAGCTACACAGAGAGAAACCCTGTCTTGAACCCCCCCCCAAAAAAGTACAAGTTTTCTACTCATCATTTGTCATCTATTTTTACTTAGAAATTTTTGGTGAATCACTGAATTGGTTATATGCTATTTTTCTTTCAATAAAATTTTCTGAACATAATTCTATACTATAGAAACAAATGTTACATACTCAATTTCAAAGGACTATGGAATTGAATTTATGTCAATCACAATGAATTTTGTGAATGTAGAGTTTTTACTGCCCTCCCCTTGTGTGTTCTTAGGTTGTAGCTGAACATCCAGATGTCTCAGGAGAGGAGATTGAAGAATTACTTGGATCCCAGTGGAACATGCTCAATGAAAAACAGAAAGCACGATATAATACAAAGTTTTCCCTAATGACCTCTGCCCAGTCTGAAGAAGACTCTGGTAAATATGCACCTATACATATGTCTTCTGCTTTGATATGATGTATAGAGTATGTGGCCACATGAACAGTGTGCATGATCACGTTAATGCATGTCATTATCATTTCCTCCCTTATCACAAGTGCAGTTCTTCTTGATGCCCTGCAGGACCCTTACTTTATTGCTTACCCAGAGCAGGGATCCTGGCTGTAGTACTTGAAGGGTTAGTAAAGGAGAGAAGGAAGAAGGAAAGGTAGGTGGTTCTAGCACTTTGGGCTTAGTGGCATGGATCCCGCCCAGTGTAGAGCAGTTAGTTCTTGGCCTATTGGCTGGAGAACTTGCAAATGAGTTTACTGGTTGACCTTTACTTAGGTGTCTCATTTCTAGCCTTTTGGTTTCAAACTTTAATATACTATATCATATATCAGTTTAAGCTATGGCAAGATGAGGAAGATCTGGAGAAAATGTCAAACAGTGGTCAGGTATATTATATATAAGCTCTTAGACACACAAGTTGCAAAAAAGAACCTGTTAATGTCAAAATAAAGTGTAATGTGTTTCATTATTGCGTGTTGTAGATGCTAGACATAAAAACTAAGCCATCCTAGAATAGCTGCCAGGTATTAGATTGTGACAGAACATACAAAAGTAGCCTATATTCAGCAGTACTTCCTGGAGACACTCATATTGATGTAGGGCTTGCTAGGTATCTGAGTTACTTTTCTGCTGCCACGACCAACGTAACTTACAGAAGAAAGTTTATTAGGGGCTTATAATTTCAGAGGGTGATTCCATGATCTTCATTGAAGGAAGCATAGCAGAAGGCAGGTAGGTAAACCTGGTGCTAGAGCAATAACTGAGAATTACATCTTGATCTACAAGTATGAGGCAGAGAGGGCTAACTGGGAATGGTGTGGGCTTTTGAAACTCAAAGCCTACCACCAGTAACACACCTCCTCCAACAAGGCCACACCTCCTAATCAGTACCAAACTTTCTACCTACTGAGAAGCAGTCATTCACATTCAAATATGTGAGCCTATGGGGGACTATGCTCATTCACACCGCCTATGGGGGGCTGTGCTCATTCACACCGCTGGAGTTCCATATCAGTTCATTATAATGGTCTTGAATTTTGTTCAACATACTGAGTGTTTGTTTAGATTCTGTAATTAAAAATAGCAAGGATGTTTAGAGTTTGTGAATTTCATTTAAATGTAAATTAACCTCATGGTGTGCTAGTATACTAAATCTTGAGTGATAATTCTTTTCAGTGGCTTGTATACTTTTCAGTGGCTGGCACTTCTGAAACCAGAGTTAGCTTACCCTGAACAAGAAGTGTATTTGGGGTTGTACATAATAGATACATAATGATGGTTTCCCCTATATTGTGTATCAGGTAAGTGCTATTCTTAAATGTCCTTGAACTGTGACTTCCAAGTCACCTTGCTGCTGAACATAAAGATGTATAATCTCTCATTGTCAGCTGTTCTGCTGACTTCATGTTAGGGAACCCCCATTTCTTTAGGAAGGGCTTTGTCTCAATCCCAGGTAAAGTGGGCAATGTTCTGGGTGTTCATGGGAAAGAAAGACAAAGAATCACCTCACAGTGGAAAACCTGCTGCTGGTCAGTACCTGGGACTCAGCATTTAGGGTTGTGAGTGCAAACCAACTGAGGTGTCTGATTAGGTGTGCCACATGGTATTCATGACTCCAGTAGTGGCTGAGCGAGCTAGAGCTAGCTTCTGCTGTCTTCAAATTCTCCAGACAGACCTCTTTCTACCCAGCCTTTATGACTAGTCTACAGCGGTGTGGTCAGGGTTAAAGCCTAGTAAAGATCTTGCTAGGCTTTGTTCATACTAGCCTAGAGTTAACTGTGATTACTTGATTTCTTTAGTAGTAATTTGAATCCCAGACCTGAGGAGTAGCCCTGTGCAGTTGTTGGCACCCAAGGCATGGCACTTGGGCTTCTTCCTGAGGCTTTCTGGACATGTCTATGCTGGTGTGTTCTGTCCCAAAAGATAGTGAGTTTGAGAATGACAACGTTCTTAAGAAGTGGTGTAAGTAATGAAGTCTGGTGGCATATGCTTGTAGTCCCAGCTACTCAGGAGGCTGAGGCAGGAAGATTCAAGGCATGTCTAGCCAATGCAGTGAGACTTTTTCTCAAAATAAAAAGTGAAAATATGGCTGGGGATCTAATTTAAATCCTGGGTTCTATTCTCAGTATCATACACATTCACAAAAGGAAGTTTGATAAGTAGGACCCTAACAGCAAATGAAAAAAAATTGTATTAAAAATAAACATTGGCATGTTCAAAATGGTTGTTCTTGCCTTCCATCATATCTTTCTTGGTCAGTGATATTTGGATACTTTATTATAGATTGGTGATTTTTCCAGACACCTAAAAAATGGCACTGTCAAACATAACAGGAAGCACTTAACTTTCAGATGAAGTTATAATTTTGCTTCTTAAAAAATATTATTTAAGAGAATAATACATAGTAGTAACCCACAGTTTTTTTTTAATCTAACTTGTTTTGTTTTGTTTTTTTAGGACAGGGTTTCTGTGTTATAGCCTTGGCTGTCCTAGAATTTGCTATGTAGACCAGGCTGTGTAGTCAGAAGTTTTCCTGTCCCAACTACCTGCTCCCAAATAACTGGCAGTCGCTTCCCAAATAACTGACTCACAGACTTAATATAAATTATAAATGCTTGGTCAATAGCTCAGGCTTGTTACTAAATAGCTATTACAAGTTAATCCATTTCTATTAATCTATGTGCTGCTCCAAGGCTCATGGCTTTTTTTTTTTTTTGTGGCTTTGTTTTGTTTTTTGAGACAGGGTTTCTCTGTATTGCTTTGAAGGTTGTCCTGGAACTTGCTCTGTAGACCAGGCTGGCCTCAAACTCACAGATCCTCCTGCCTTTGCCTCCTGAGATTAAAGGAATACGCCACCAGCGCCTGCCTGACTCATGGCTTTTTTTCCCCCCAAATATATTTTTTATTTAAATTAGAAACATGCTTGCCAATCCCAGCTCCCTCAGAGCCTACTTGTTTTTTTTTTCCCAACACAGGGATTCTCTGTATTGTTTTGGAGGCTGTCCTGAAACTTGGTCTGTAGACCAGGCTGGCCTCGAACTCACAGAGATCCACCTGCCCCTGCCTCCCGAGTTCTTGGGGTTAAAGGCGTACGCCACCAACGCCAGGCGCTCATGGCTTTTATAGCTATCCCATTTTGTGTGTCTGACTTGTTCTCTATCTGACTGGCGCTTCCTCTGACTCTGCCTGTCCTCATGCCATCATTCTCAGTTTCTCTTCTTTGCCTAACTTTATACTGTTCAGTTATTGGCCAGACTGTGTATTAAACCAATCATAATGACGTATATTCACACAGTATACAGAAGGATTATTCTACAGCAAGACTGGCCTGGAACTCACAGAAATCCTCCTGCCTCTGCCTCCAAAGTGCTCTGATTAAAGGTGTGCACCACCACCCGGCCTTCTTTAACTTTTACTTTTTTCTTTTGGTTTTTCGAGACAGGGTTTCTCTGTGGCTTTGGAGGCTGTCCTGTTGGTCTCGAACTCACAGACATCCACCTGCCTCTGCATCCTGAGTGCTGGGATTAAAGGTGCCGCCGCCACCACCTGGGTAACTCTTTTTAGATGTGTTTTATATGTTTGAGTGTTGGAATAACAGATGTTATTCCAACACTCAAACATATGTCAGCCATTATGTGGATTCTGGGAATCAAACGCAAGTCCACTGTCAGAACAAGTACTCTAACCCACCGAACCATCTTTCCAGCCTGTTAAGTTGTAGTTTTCTAAAAGTTGACTTAAATTCTACTTTTCTTTACATATTAGTAAATAAAGAGTTCTTTTTCCCCACCCTAAGTCAACGTCTTACTGTGTAGGCAAGGCTGGTGTTGAACTCAGACCCTCTTGTGCTAAGCCTTCTTGTGTTCTGGGTTTACCATGTCTAACTGTAAAGGATTAAAAAAAAGATTTGAGCTGGGTGTTGGTGGAACACACCTTTAATCCCAGAACTCAGGAGGCAGAGGCAGTCGGATCTCTGTGAGCTTGAGACCAGGCTTGGTCTATAGAGTGAGTTCCAGGACAGCCTCCAAAACAATACAGAGAAACCTTGTCTCAAAAAAACAAGCAAACAAAACAAAAACAAAAAAAGATTTTAGTTCTGTGGAGTAATCCTCTGTACACTGTGAATATGTATTATTTTCATTGGTTAATAAATGCTGATTGGCCAGTAGCCAAGCAGTAAGTATAGGTGGGACAGCCCAACTGAGAATGCTGACAGGAAGAAGGATGGAGTCAGAGGAGTCACAGGTGAGACAGAGAGAGTAAGACATGCTGGAGGACAGGTAAAGCCATAAGCCACCTGACAATACATAGATTAAAGAAATTGGTTAATTTAAGTTGTAAAAGCTAGTTAGTAATAAGCCTGAGCTATCGACCAAGCATTTGTAATTAATAAAGTCTCTGTTGGCTATTTTAGAGCAGGTGGTTGGGATAGGAAAACTGCCTCCCTCTGGGTTATATTTAAATTTAATGCTATAGTACATTAAAAATACAATGCCAAGGTAATAATTAGGCAAAATAGTTTTGGGTCCCTAGTTCTTTTTTTGGAAAGAGATTTGATCTGTAAAACATATAGACCTTGGACATTAGCCTGGTTGCTGAATACCTGTCACTGTTTGCATGAGGAATGCCAGAGCAGGTTGGGGACTCTCTTCCCTGCACATTTATCCCAATTCTCGTTCTTTATTCCAAGGTAATATAAATGGGAAAAAAAGAAACCACACAAAGAGGACAGATGACCCTCCAGAAGATGTCGATGTTGAAGATGCACCCAGGAAAAGACTTAGGACAGATAAGCACAGTCTTCGGAAGGTAATGCTCTGGGCTTACCTGGCCTGTATGAATGTATGTTATAGAGTTCTTGAGACAAGGCCAAGATATAGGCAGTGTGGTCTTCTGGGTTCTTGCCAAAGTGGCATTCATAAGTAAGGTTTGCCCTTTACTACATTGAAAAGCCACTGAAGAAAGGACACACTCATGAACAATTAGGAACTTAGCACATAACTGTTAGTACTGGTGTGTTCAAGGAAACAGCATCCAGATGATTTGAGTGATACATGATATTTTAGTTTTGTGTGTTAAAAGCTACTCTTAGGTTGAAGGGAGCGTCGCTCAGTGCTAAATTTCTCAAGTAGCATGAGCCTGACCTTTAGTTTCATTGCCAGTACTTGTGGAAACATTTGTCTCTGGGATTATTGTTTATTCAGTGTGTAAACAAGGTACGTGAAAACCCATTAAAGATACTTTGTACTGCAATAGGAAGTTAAAGAATCTGTGATAGATACTGGATTTACACACTTTGTTAGTAATTCGTGATCTTGTTTACTCACTGGGAATCCAGTGTGAGCACCGAGGCATAATTGAAACTACAGTATGAATGAAAAGCCAGCCCAGGGCCTTGAGCCTTAGTATTCCCAGCATCTGTTAGGACAATTTGACTGATACCTGAAGGGAAGTGAAATTGAGCAAGAGCTATGTGTGCAAAGCAACTGTGGATTCTGTCTGTCATATGAAGCTTACACATAGAGAGAGTCAATCTTTTAGCACCATTTGTTTCAACTGTCTGAGATCTAGTTAACTTTTGGCAAATTGAGTTTAATTAAACTTTGAACTATATATTTGAATTCATATTTGGCAGGAGCTCTGACACAGCATATGTTTATGATTTGAGTAAAGCTTGGTCTTTCACTGACTAAGTTGCCTTTATTTCTTTTTTTCTCTTCTAATTTTGAATAGAAAAATCTCACAGATTGGTGAAGTGTAAATATATATCTTTAACTTTTGTCTACCTATATTATTTAAGGTTCTGTTTCTAGTATGAAATAGACAGGTTCTGTACCATTGTCCTAATGTATAAAGTTGTTATTTGGATTCATTTATAGTAGTGAAGTGTTGCTATGAGTTGCTAGAGTTTGAAGATACTGAGAAGCTCATGCTTAGAGAAGCCCTTTAGATATGGGTGGTCAGAACATTTGAAATACCATAATTCATATTAAATAGCTAGGCATAATTTTTTAAATTTATAAAACAGATCAGAAAATAGCACATTTAAAATATAGTGGTGTTTTCCCTTCATCCCATCACTTGGAAGGCAGAGGCAGATGATCTCTAGTTCCAGGCCAGCCTGGTCTACACAGTAAGACCCTGTCCCAAAAAGTAGTGTTGTTTCTTTGGTCTGGTTTTTATAAATCTTAGTTCATATTGCATACAATCCCTCATATACATTGAGTGCATTTGATGAGCCAGCAGCATTTTAATATCTAAACAGAATTCTTGTGACTACTCTCAGTGGTCTTTTATCTACCATGGCTATAGGTGTTAGTGAATGAGATCTGAGGTCTGATACCTGTGGAAGATCCCTGTCTCCTAGAATGACATGGTAACCATTAGGCAATACTGTTCCTGTCCTGTTGAAACATGGTTCTTGTTTGTTTTGTTTGGTTGTTTTTTTGGTTGTTTTGTAACTGGTTGAGAATGTTCTTTGTAACCTAGGCTGGCTATTTCATCTCTGTTCCTTCTGCCTCTGCCTTCATGAGTGCTGGGATTATAGGCTTGTGCCACCATACCTTGCTGGGGCATTTGAGCTATATTTTTCTTTTCTTTTTTGTTTTTCTTATTTGTATTATTTATTTATTTGAGACAGTCTCACATTGTAGCTTTGGCTGTCCTGGAGCTTGCTGTGTATACCAGACTGGCCTCAAACTCACCGGGATCCACCTGTTTTGGTTTTCTAAGTTCTAGAATTGAAGGCATGTGCCCTCACACCTGGACTGAATTACAGTTTTCAAAATCTCAGCATAAAAAATCCATGATATTAAGCCCTTATTTTTTTGTTTTTTTCCATTTTTAATTTTATTTCATTTTACATTCCAACCACAGTTCTTCCTTCCACCCTCCCTCACCTACCCCCAGATCACTCCCAGTCTGTTCCTCCTCACTGCATGAGGGCTCCCATGAGGAGTCAACATAGTCTGGCACAATAGATTATGGTACGACCCATCCCCTTTCCTATACAATTAAGACTGAGCATGATATTCTACCATTTGGAATGGGCTCCAACAAGCTGGCTTATATATCAGGTTTGTATCGTGGTCCTACTGCCAGGGGCCCCTCTGATAGTCCAAGCTTCACAGCTGTCTCCCATATACGGAGGGCCTAATTCAATTCTCTGGACTCTCCACAGTTGTAGGTCTAGAGTCCATGAGTTTGCATGAGCTTGGTTCAGCTGTCTCTGTAGATTTCTCCATCATGATCTTGACATCCCTTGCTCATGTGTTCCCTCTTCCTTCTCTTTGCCTGGATTCCTGGAGCTCAGCCTGCTTCTTGGTTGTGGATCTCTGCGTCTGGTTCCATCAGTTACAGGATGAGGGCTCTATGATGGCTCTATGATGATAGTTGCGATATTCATCAGTCTGATTACAGGGGGAGGCCAGTTCAGGCATCCTCTCTACTGTTGCTAGGAGTCTTAGTTGGGGGTCCTCTTTTGGATTCTCTGGAGTTACCCTAGCACCAAGTTTCTCCTTAAGGCCGTAGTGGCTCTCTCTGTTAAGATATGTTTTTCATTGTTCTTCCACTGCATCCCTCCCCACCTAGGCCATCTTCTTCCCTGATGTTCTCATCCCCTCCTCTCCTCCCCCCTTACTACTCCTCCCCCCACCCCCAGTTTGCCCAGTAGATATCATCTAATGTCTCTTTCCAGGGTGATCCATGTGTCCCTCTTACGGCCCTCCATGTTACCTGTCTTCTCTGGAACTCTGGACTTCGGTCTGGTTTTCCTTTGCTTTACATCTAATATTCACTTATGAGTGAATACATACTATGTTTGTTTTTCTGAGTCTGTGTTTTTTTTTTTTTTTTTTTTTTTTTTTTGAGACAGGGTTTCTCTGTATTGTTCTGGAGGTCTGGAGGCTGTCCTGAAACTTGCTCTGTAGACCAGGCTGGCCTCGAACTCATGGAGATCCGCCTGCCGCTGCTTCCCGAGTTCTTGGGATTAAAGGCATGCGCCACCAACGCATGGCTGAGGTTATCATTTTTTTTTTTTACCGCTGAGTGATACTCCATTGTGTAAATGTACCACATATTCCTGGTTTCAGATCATATGGTTTCACCTTTTAAGCCCTTATTTTTTGGGACAGTGTCTCACCATGCAGCCCAGACTAACAAAGATCTCACCATCATGCCCAGAGTTTTTCTTTTTTTTTTTAATTTACTAGTACTAGGAATCGAATCCTCTCTTATTCTAGGCAAATGTTTTACAACTAGCTGCCCCCCTTATTTGTTTTTTGTTTGTTTGTTTGTTTGTTTGTTTTTTATGAGACAGGGTTTCTCTGTATTGTTTTGGAGGTTGTCGGTCCAGCCTGGCCTCGAACTCGCAGAGATCCGCCTGCCTCTGCCTCCCGAGTGCTGGGATTAAAGGCGTGCACCACCCCTGCCCGGCTAGCTGACCCCCTTTTATTTGGAATATTTTTAATGATTTACTTTTATCCTGTGTGTGTGTGTGTGTGTGTGTGTGTGTGTGTGTGTGTGTGTGTGTGTAATTCCATGGAGGCCAGAAAAGAGTGTGTAATCCCTTGGAGCCAAGTTCCAGATGTTTGTAAGTGGCCAGGCAAGGGTGCTAAGACTCAAACTTGGGTCCTCTGAAAAATCAGCAAGAAGTGCCCATCTCCTCAGCTCTGCTTTTCCATTTCAAAGCAGGATCTCACTAAATTGCCTAGCCTGGTCTTGAACTCACTTATTAGCCCAGACAAACTTTGAGCTTGTGACTCTGCTGCCAGTCTCCCAATTAGCTAAAATTACAGGCCTGTGACCACTGGCTCAGCATTTTGAAACTCTTCCCCCAGTCTTTACCTGTGGAAGGTGTTTTATTGTTGATCTCTGTGACGTAAATATGGAATTTTCAAATTTGGAAATCCCCAGTGTAGTAACATTATGAGTTACACACTAGTAATGCTGGGACTGCTATAGAAGGGATGACTTCAGTTTGATTGATCCTTTTGAATACAAACTAGATTTCCTTTTAATTTTTACCCTGCTTTGGATTCAGTGGGAAGTTTAGGTAGCAGATGAAATACAAATCATGTAAGGTACCTTAGCAGTACTAAGGCTGGTATTGGCACAGCCCTGCCCACTATACTCTCTGACAGCTTCTAGAAAAGAATTAGTTCATAATATTAAAAAAGTTAGTTTGGGCAACTGAGTGTGAGGAACACATTTTCAAAAGAAGAATTTTCTATTGTGTAAATTTTCAGCAACCTGTATTCATTCATATTAGAAAATTTTTTTCCTTTGTTTTCTCTGTGTCTGACTCGCCCCCCCCCCCTTTTAAATAACAGAGAGAGACAATCACCGACAAGACGGCCAGAACAAGCTCTTACAAGGCCATAGAGGCAGCCTCCTCACTCAAGAGCCAGGCAGGTAATATGGTCAGGGGCCTTCCTTCCTGGCTCCTCTGGGTGCCTGGGCGGGTGAGCAGAGCAGCCTGGTCCTGGTCTTGGGGAGCCTCCAGTGTGAGTACCTAAGAGAGGGGCAGGGATAAATAAGAGCAGGGCTGGGAAACAGGGATCCAGGGATCCCTCAGAAGAATTCAACAATTAAGCTAGTAGCAAAAACATATGGGAAAGAAAATCTTGTGGAATTAAAAAATAACTGATTTAAGGTGCAAATTGTCATATTCAGTCATATTGAAGTTACTTTTCTACTGATTTTCACTTGACTTCATGTTTCAATTTGAAATTTTATTAAAGAGAAATTTAAACCAGAAATACTCAGATTTCTTACTTTATGGGATGAGTTGTTACCATAAATTCTTTCACCCTAATTTAGGCTCTTGATGATTCAAGAGTAAAAGTTATGGCTAGTTGTTTCTATTTCATTTGATAAAGAAATTGGCTCAAAGAATATTTCTATGAAAAACAGCTAAGCAGTAAAAAAGAAAAGCGAGATCCTTTGCCTATGTGTAGATTATTCTGTTGAGACTTCTGTCTGATAGATCAGCACAGGAGCTCTCCATCTCAACCTTTGTGGTGAAAGATATGGTTTGAAATGTTTTCTTTCTTTCTTTTTCTTTAATTATTTGTTTATTATGTATACAGTGTTCTGCCCAGGCCAGAAGAGGGCACCAGGTTGCATTACAGATGGTTGTGAAGTCATCATGTGGGTGCTGGGAATTGAGCTCAGGTCCTCTGGAAGAGCAGTCAATGTTCTTAACCTCTGAGCCATCATTCCAGCAGTCCCAAAAGACTGTTTTCTTTATGCTGCACAAGATGTCAGGTTTTTAAAAATCAGCTTTGTTTTGTTTTGTTTTGTTTTTTGAGACAGGGTTTCTCTGTATTGTTTTGGACGCTGTCTTGGAACTCGCTCTGTAGACCAGGCTGGCCTCAAACTCACAGAGATCCCCTGCCTCTGCCTCCCGAGTTCTTGGGATTAAAGAAGTGTGCCACCAACACCCGGCCAATCAGCTATTTTTTTAAACAAACATTTGTGAATGATTGGAAACTTGGACATAGGATTACTATTTTTAAATATGAAAGTGATGTTGTATTTAAATTTTTATTTTAGAGGTATATGTTAGGCTTTTTATGCATGAAATTATGTATGGAGTTTGTGTCAGATAATTCTATAGGGTGTCATGGATCTAGGTGTGGATGAAGCTGCATTGACCCTGGGTTGTTGATTTTGGGGGGTAGACTGTGAGATATGGAATTCATTGTGTAGTTTGTCTGCTTTTTCTTAATGCAGTCGATTTTTTTATGATAGAAAATTAAGCTCTTACTGACAACTAAGGACACCAGAAGACTCATCTTTAGGACTTCACTTACTTGAGGGGTTATTTAAAGCAGTAAGGAGGTGTGGGAAGTTTAAGATTTTAAACTTTATAAAATAAACTTATTTTACAGCAACGAAAAATCTTTCTGATGCTTGCAAACCACTGAAGAAGCGAAATCGGGCTTCTGCAACTGCATCTTCAGCACTTGGGTTTAGCAAAAGTTCATCTCCTTCTGCATCCTTAACTGAGAATGAGGTAAAATGATGATAGTGATACCATGGCGTTCATGTGAAAGCCATTAGTTACTCAAGTTGCATTGTGAGTGAAAATCCTATTTCAAAAGAATTATGTTGGTGTTCTCCATAGGTATAGGTTAGTTTCAGGTGTTCTTAGCTATCTAAATTTACAAAATTGAAAAAAAATAGTGCACTATTTTAGTTTGAGCACCTTGAATATAAATACATACATGCACATGGTGAATGTGCAAGTGTACATACATACTTCAGTCTTATTGCAAAGTAATCGTTGTTGCAGTCTGTTTTAAAATGGTGTGTTCTGTAAACCTCACTCTTGTTTTCTCACATGAAAGGAAGTTCACACTGGCTCTACCAGGACATACTACGTTGGCCACACTGACGCTGTTGGCCACACTGACACTGACCACTGTGCATCCACACTGGTGGAATGGAGGGGCTCATAAGCCTGTGGGGGAGCCAAAGGTTTCTTGGTCCTCATGCATTGCGTGTCTCTTGTCCTTTGTTCTGGCATGTCTCAGATGTGAGTGTGGAGGCAAGTTAGAACTGTCAATATACTAAGATTCCTGTATTTTCTGGACCTGCAAAATACATGATAGCTGAGAAGTAGGTGGTATGATAATAGGCTGCTGCTGTCATCACTGTAGTGTAGCATGTAGATGATGTTACCAAATCTAAAGGCTGCCATTGCCAAAACAAGGAGCAGCCACAAATGCAGGAATGTTTGTTTTTATTTATGTTTGTATTTGTGTTTTGTACAGAGATAGTTTTAGTTTGATTCTACTATCTTTATGGATCTTATTTTCCATTTTTAATTTCTTGTTATTTTGATATCTGTAATTCTGTTGTTGTTGGTTTTTCTTTTCATTGTAGATGGAGATTTATTTTCACGATATTTGTAAGGTGTCTTGGTCTTCATGGAACAACAGGATAGTGATATAGGAGATAGACAGGCCCCTTTCTCATTTTGGATCATAGGCAGCACTTCTGGCCTGGCCTCTGCTATGGTCCCTAGTAGGGTTGAATGTATCTTTGCTGTTTCTTCCCATTAGTGGAGGGCTGGGCTTTCCATTGCATGATGGTCAGAGACCTGGGTAGCCAGTGGAACACCCTTGAGAACTCTGTTGCTCACTTCTCTGAAACTGAAAGTGTGGTGTAAATCTAGACTGTTTCTTTAGTGGGATCTCAGTCACAGACCCCTCAGTCATGATCTCAAGTGCTCATGTTCATGGGACTGGGGCTTGCTGATAATTGTTATGTGTAGAAAACTAAGCATTTTATATAAATGTGTACATTGAATTTGTTGCTGAGCTTCTATCTAAAATGTTATTAATACAAAAGGCTAGTTTTATACAAATTATTTTCCATTTTCCTCTCTTACCTACATTTAGATTAGCAGTCTAGAAAACTAAAGATGGTCTAAAGTTCCAGATAATCATATTAAAAATGGAAGGTTTCTGTTCTAGAAATTCATTTAGGCGTTTAAGTTGGAATTTTCATTAATGATTTTTTTTATTGAAAGTGTTGGGGTTGGAACCTAGGGATTTGCGAATCTAGGCAAGTGTTCTACCTTATAAAAATGTAAACAAGTTTTTCTTGCTTCATAGTTTGGTCTAGTTAGCCAGTTGATATTTTACATATGCTATTGTCAGAATTGGGAGAGAGAAAAATATTGAATTACTGAAGATGTGTCTATCATTCTTGATTATCAGTAGTGGGTATTGAAGGTAAAGACAGGGTAAAACAGAGAACAGCAGCTGGTGCCATCTCTGGCTCAGTATGAACTTGGAAAGGCTAAGATGAAGTATTTTGTAACAAGACTTAGTTGCAGCATCAGAAGTTGATAGTTGATATAAGTGTGTTTATATAGGCAGTGCATTGAATTCAAATCCCTTCTTACATTTTGAAGGTGATAACATAAATCTCACAGTATACATTATGCTTCTTATATAAAAATAATTTTAATTTCTAGCCCTTCTCTGTTAGACTGCTTGTGTGACTTATGTAAATATTCTTTATAGCTTATTTAATAGAGTTGCAGTGTTAATTTAAAACCTTTAGGTAAACAAGTAGATTTATTCAGTATGTATCAGCACTCCTGACCCCCCACAGTGAATGCTGCAGGTGTGCAGAACTGAGTGTCTGCTAGCACATGAGCAAAGCATTAGTGTTGTGAAAGGCTGTGGAGACTGAGTGATTCTGAGGTGACAATTACTCTTTCGAGTCAGATTACCTCTTCACTTTGGGACACATGTTTTGCATGTTTATATTTCCCTCCCTTCACACACTTGATTGAATGAAAGGGGATTATGTAGAGTTAGTATTGTAAGACATTTTAGGTCATGTTGTAGTTTAAGTTCTTGAAAAATGTATATGATAAATTGGAATAATTATTAATTACATGGTTATTACATTACCCCAATGAAGAGATTAAAATTGCCCACTTGCATGACAAAGGCCTGTGAAGGAATTGATGTGATTTAAGTGTTTTGTAACTTCATTTTTTGTTCCCTTAGTAGAGCAAATTCTTATTTTTTTCGCCTTCACTGGTAACAGCTTTTATGGGAGCCCACATCAGTCAAGTTGGACTTGAATTCAGCCGCCCTGTACTGCACTTAGAATGATGTAATACCCCAAGATGTCTGCTGCAGGTGGTGCATCATCGTATACACTAAGTGACATTTCTATCACAATCATTTTATGGAAGATGTGTGATAATCTGTTTTTACTGGTATTAATAAACACATACAATGAAGAGAACAGATAACAAATTTTAAGACCAAGGTAAGATACCCAAAAGGCCATTTAATCAATCACATTCATCTCATAATAGAAACACATTCATATTCTAAAGATCAATCTGAAGTTCAAGTTGAGGAAGAGGCCCTCCAATGAGGCTATCCCAGAGCTGTGACAATGGCACCATATTGAAGAGATCCTGTTTATGCTCATTTTTTCCTCTAATTCATAATTTACTGAATTTTTATGGAAAAATGTCAGCATCTGTTCACCATCAATAAGAAAGAACAAACAGGACACATTAAGGGGTCCTTTGTCAACTATTTTCATTGCCAATAAAATGTATTCAATATTGTAGATATTAAACCAGTTTCCCACATAAAAGGCAGGAGGAGTTTTGATTCTGTCTTTTTTTACTCAACAGTTTTACTATGATAATAGACACAGTAGATTTTTAGGGAAAAATGCCATTTACAGTATCATTGTGAACCATTCAACTATTGATCCAGTCACTGATATCTAGAAGACACCACAATCAGGTTATTTACAACAACCACATCATCAGTTGCTTTTATAGAACATCAGCATCATGTTTTAAACGTTGTGGTCCTGGATGCCTAGCTGCGGCATACCCAGGTGCCCGCATGTTTGCATGGGAGGAAAGGCTCCACTTGCCCTCAGCTCATGAAGCAGAGCTTGTGCTGTGCACGGGGTGTGTGAGCGGTGCCCAGGCCGTTTCACACAGACACCTCAGTGTTGGACCTGTGATGAAAGTTTCTGAGAAATACTTTTGTTCCAAACCATTAAGTAATGTAACGCATGTAAAACACATAGAGTGCCTGGCACCTTGCAAGGACTCACTCAGTGGTTCACTATTGTGACAGTAATGGTTATTACAATAAAAATAATAAAATCACCACCATTCCATTTTTATCCAAAAGTATAAATTTTTCTTTGGCATGAAAAATGATCCTCTTGACTGCATCATGCATGTGTGGATAAAATAAATCCAGGAGTAGCAGAACCCTAGCTCTGTTTGTGTGGCACAGTAGGGTATTAGACTGTGAGGTTGTGGTCTGGTAGGTCACTCAGCTGGCTCTTCTCAAATGTAATAAGAGACATGACCTCAGAGAATACCTAATGTGAGCATTCTAAGTTGTAGTGTTCTTAAAGGACTTGAAAGATCTCAGGTAAATTTTTAAAAATTTAAAATATAAATCACAAAATTAGAAAGTGTGAAGAAATATGATGGTGTAGAAATGGCCCTGGTTTAAGAAGTGATTCCTCAAAAGTAAAGGCACTATAATGAAAGGTCTTGGGCAGAAATGAAGGGATTTCATTTGAAATTAGAGCATGATGAGTTTTGACTGGTTGCCCAGGTAGCAGCTAGTATGTATGTGCAGATACAACAGGAATAAGCCAGAGGACAGGCATTTTGCTCTGTGATAGGGGAGTGAAGGCTTCAGAACTAATGTTGATGTCCACAGTGTGGCACAGTTAGTAGTACCTGCTGAGTTCAGAGAGTATGAGGGAAACAAGGGTGGGGATCATGGAATATTCTTCAGCTAGGGAAGACATAGCCAACCTGGGGGTAGGGGTAGGAGCAGGATCCTTGCTTTTCATTTTGCAATGAGTGCAGAGTGATAGTCCTCCATGTAGGATTATCCTGCCCCAGAGACCAGCAGTAGTCTTACAGTAAATAAGCAGAGTTGCATGTCAGCTCTTGGCTGACCACTCCTAAAGGAGGTGAGTAGGAAAGAAATAGCTCTTAACCAAGAGTTTACCAAGAAGCAATAGCTTGTCTGCTAAGAGTACAAAATTATGTAACAAATTTGTTATGCTACAAATTTAACATGGAATTCCTTCATTTTCTATAAAAATGTCAAAAAAGCAATGCTACCTCTCTAGCCTTAGGTCTTTTGAACTGCCCACTGTTGAATTTTGCTTTTGCCGTACAGAGAATTATTACCATTTGATCCTATTTGGCTTCCTTCAAACCATTGTTTGTATACTATGTTTGCCTGGCAAGGGGAAGTAGCTTTCTGTATAAAACTCTGATTTGAAAGAGGTGAAGACTTGGGTGAATGTACAAAGGTTTGGATGTAGCTGTTCTAACTGCAAGTTGTCTGTTACACAGAGCAGCACACCAGGGAGTTCACATGCTGGATAGAGGCCTGTGCCCAGCAGCCAGGCCCTTCAGGTGTCCCTCAATCAGCCCCTCTGCTCCAAATGGATTTCTGCCTCCCTGGCAGCTTTTCCTCAGATGAAAAGTGAATGTTGTCCTTTGGTCACGATGCCTTTAAGTGTAGTTGTAGCTCAAAACTTTCTTTAGTATTCATATCTGTTTATATCTGTGTTTCCCAACACAAAACAACACCAATATTTTTAAGAGGATGTCTTGAAAACCAACAAGAAATCTTAAGCATGACAAGGAAGTAAAATATTGTAGGATATAAGAGGAAAGGTTCTCTGCTCCATGTTTGATGGCATCCATTCCACCCACTGCCTTTGAAGAGGTAGCACAACCTGCTTCTGGCATGGGCTGGAGGGCGTCGTAAGTTGGCCCCTCAGCCAAAGTATATCTAATTCTGGGATTAGTTGAGATAGTTCGTGCAAAAGCACTAGAAAACTTAAAACATGATTCTCTGGGGCTGGAAGGCAGGGCCTATTCATTAATGATAGAACATGTCACAAGAAAAGTAAGGAAAAAAAAAACCAAAATAAAATCTCACCTGGCAACATGTCTGTGACTCCATACACTCATCCATGGTTGTGTCTGGACCCTTTGGGCTGGCTAGATGAAATAGGTTACTGGCACCCCTTAAGGGTCTGTAACAGAAATACAGAAATGCCATATAAAGAAGGAAAAATAAAAACATAAGTAAACATCTCATTTTTCAAACAAAAATGGATGCCTGTGTTTATGTAAAATTAAAACAAAAAGTGCTCCTGAGAAAGGGTCTCTTAGCCTGGAGTGAGGACCAGAACTGAGTTTTGTTCTGTCTATCCTTCAGCATTGGTGTGTATTCTATATAAGCTCCTAGTTCACTCAGCCCACTTCAGCAGAATGAGGAACCCCGAGTGAGTGGTTCTTTGTTGGCTTCAGTTGCTTTATGTGGGCCTGAGATGCCCAATGAAGTCATGGCTCCCTTCTTTAGGAAACGTTTGTTCAGTTGTAGGTGAACTGTAGGGTCATTAACACTTTAATAAGTTTGCTTTCTTCCTCTGTCACTGATTCTAGGGTACCATATGTCTTTCACACATTCAAGCATGTAGGTTGCTGATCTACCTTAAACCCTGCTGTCCAGATGGACTTCTGTTAGGGACCCCTGAGGCCCTTTGGATTGCTAAATGTACAGCACCTTATTTTAGTGTCAGTATATCCATTATCCCAGCTTTTCAAAAATTAACCACGAAGGACTGCTGTTTATCTTTTGAGGGGATAAAAATCCAATTTGTCATTTGCTAGAGAAAAGTAGGAGAATTTTCCTAACATTGTTTCAGAGCTTTTATTGCCTCTTCCTGAAAATGACTTAGAAAGCTTTTTGGGTTTTACTTTTGTTTTAAGGTACATCGATTCCTGTATATCGTAGCATTTTTGGTGATTGAAATTGACTTTGTTCCTTTTAGGTACTGTTTTTATGGTTAGAATATTAGGATTTTTTTTCACTAGTGAAAAGTATGTTTGTGTTTATTTCTTGTACAGGAAGGGTAAGGAACATGCTCTCTGGGGCTTAACTAGCAAGGGTGTCTGTCCATCTAGCAACCTGACATTTTGTCAGAGTTCTGTGTGTACATCAACATTTATAATTTTTTTCTAGCCCATATAGTTGTTTGCTTTTAACATATAACTCTGGCTGTATTTTGAACTTCCTAGCATTCCAGGGGTATTCTGCTTTTTAAAAATAACTGGGATCAGGTGGAGTCCTAGTCTTGGTACAGGGACATTGCCAGTCACATGAGCTAAGAAAGCAGGTAGGCTGGACCAGGCCCCTGCACAGCCTAAACATGAATGAGTCAGTAGAACATTTAGAGATCACTTACTTAACCTTGGGTAAGGACAAGCCTTTATGGGAGCAGTAGCTGTGTGGCTGACTGGCCACAGCTCTCACTTAGTCTTTGCTGTCCTCTTCTTAGTAACTACATAGAAGCTGGCATAGATTAGATGAATATGAAGCACAATGACATTCTGTGGACTAAAGGTTTTCTTTTGGTTTTTGGTTTTTTCCTCGTTCATGTTCTCAGTAACTCATACCTGGCTTTAAATTAGGAGCAGCTAGGAGAATTCTTGTCTGTATAAACTTCAGTAAAAATTATTTTGGATTCTAGGATTTTAGAATGGTTGACTTAATTTAAAATTGTCTTAGTTCCACTCTTAATACTTCACTGTGATGTTAACTGGAAGCCCTGCTTGAGATCAGTCTTTTAATTTTAGACCATTATATCTACTGAGCACAGAATTCTTACCATTTGTAAATCTAAACGTCTGTGAACACACTTCTACGCTTCTTCCTTTATGAAAGCATAACAAACATGAAAAATATGTTGGTTATAGAAATATTTATTGTTCAAGGTCTGTAATTGTATTTTAAAATGATGTAGTATTCAACTTGTGAAGGGAATTGTTTTGTCAAAAAATTTTAAAATTTAATGTGTATCAGCCCACAGAAGGGCAGGTTCTACTTTGTGGCCACAGTGGGGTAAGCCCCAGTTGTACTCACTGAGCTTTCCTGATGACCACTTAGCTCTTGGTAGTGGGTTGAAAGATGTCTACTGGGTCACATGATGTTTGATAATGCCATCTTGAAAGTCCCTGTAATAGATGGAGACTGCATTTCCTGTCCATGAAGGAATGTGTGTCTAAGGCAGGTAGGCAACTCAGTACTGTCACATACTGAGTAGAGAGTGGAGAAAGTATTTTCAGACTCAAGAAAACTTTGGAAAGTCAGGACTAAGCTGCTTGGAAATCAGTGCCACAAGCATGACCTTGGTGGACACAGGAAGCCACAGGAAAATTCTTGACAGTCTGTGTCCCATCAGTCACTTCATTTTTCTTTTTTCAAATACATCCTGTTGGATAACTGAATAGATCATAGAGGCCGTAGACTGAGATCTGGGACTGTGTTGAGAACATACAGGTGATATGTCACGTCCACAAAATGGCATCTCCAAGTAAGCTGTCACCTGGTACACATGGAGGTGGAGCCTGCAGCTGGAGTGAGGCGCACCCTTGGCTCTACTTGCAGGTGGTTTGCTGAACAGAGAGCTGAGGGACCCTCTTGACTGGGTAGGGGTTTTGTCCATTTGTGGGGGAGGATGTGGTGGGTGAAGGTGGACCTTCTACAATCTGTCATGGACTGTGATATTGTAAGGTCTATATTCTGTATGTGGATAACAGACCCAATCAGGAAACGAGCCTTATGTGTGTCGTTAACGTTTATATTTCCATTCAAAATATGTATTCAGTGTTTATTTCCTCAACAGACTTTGTTAATTTAGGAAATATCTCCAAGTGGAAACGTGCTAACTTTCTGTAAATCTTAAATAAAAGGTGCTGTTCCTTCCTCTGGCCCAGGACTGGTTTGTGTTTTCTGTCTTTCTTTCCATTCCTTTCTCTTTATAATTTTTAAATTTGTTTCATCCACACTAAGGGAAGAGTGGGCTGGTGAACAGAGCATGGGCTCTCTTCCATGGATGCTGTGCCTAACATCCTTTGGGTCTCAGTTCCTCCATCAGTCTGATGGGCCAGCCTACGTGGCTATGGGAGCTGCTCTCTGAGCCAGGGCAAGCGATGTGGCTACTGATTCCCTAGTACTCACTCCAGTCTCAGAAGTGCATCCCCACCTGTGATTCCCATATCTGATGGACATATAAAATCTGTAGTTTGAGCTCAGAGCATCTCAAATTATCTCTTTCTGGAAGTCGATGCTAAAGAAGTGGGAGGTGAGGGATTGGCAGTGGGCCCTGTAGTCCCAGCTAGTCAGCCTCCTGGTGACACTAATCTAGTGTTCTTCATGCTATTCCCATCTTCCTGCACAAGGTGAGAAAGTTGAGTTGAAAGACCTTTTCCCCCATTACATTCTTGTTGCTAAATGTGTCTAGTGAGACTTAAACAGGGGATAACACAAAGCCTGTCCTTGTTTCCATGGACCACAGGAATCCTGGTTAATTTACTCCACATTAGCATTGAGTTCAAGTTAGAAAAATGCCTGTTTTTTTCTGTCATTGCTCCCAATAATTTCAATGAGATAAATCTGGTAAGAGCTCATCAGTAAGCCTGCAGAATCTAGGCCAGAGTCCCTGGTGAGGCTCTTTTGTTTTGTTTGTTTTTGTTTTGTTTGTTTGGTTGGTGGTTTTTGTTTTTTTTTGTTGTTTGTTTGTTTGTTTGTTTTTTTGGTTTTTCAACAGAGTTTTTCTTATGTAGCCCTGGCTGTCATAGACCTTGCTCTTTGGAGCAGGCTGGCCTCCAACTCAAAGAGATCTGCTTGCTTCTGATGTGAATGCTGGGGTTAAAGGCGTGTGCCACCACCGCCGCCCGGCTTGTTTTTGTTTTTTAATATGGCCTAATTACAATATCTAGCTTTGTGTTAACTGGCAATAGCAAGTCTATAACATAATTACTTGTGATTATTGAGGTAAACAAGAAACACTGTAGTACACTGTAGTTAATACTTTTTTTTTGCCTTGTTTTATTTCCAAAATTGAATTTTCACCACTAAGATCAGTTAACCCACCCCCAAATTTAAGCATGGAATTTGATAGATGAAAGGATATTCCAAGTTACCCATTTAAACGTTTATTGCTAGCACTTGTCATTAGAGAACAGGATGCTCTATACAGCAAGGGTGAGGTTGTAGCTGGACACTAATCTGTTTAGTGGAGAGAAGCCAGTAAAATAGGTGCTTTCTCCCAAGTTTTCCTCCAAGTCCAATGTTAACAAAGTAGGTAGAAATTGTTTCTTGCCTTTCTGTGGGGCGGAGCAGATGAGCTGTGACTGGTTTGCAGTGAGAGGATAGACAAGGCACTCAGGCTGCAATGCAAGTCAATGACTCCTGATTCTTGAGTCAGTTCCAGAGGAGCAGCATGCTTCTGGAAGAGAAACAGTTTCTGTGAAGTGTTTTTTATGACTTCACTTTGTTGGGGTTTTGGGGGTTTTTTTTGTTTTGTTTTTTAATTCATGTGGTATTTGGGTCTGAACACATTGGATAAGAAAGCACAAGAATATTGATCCCAGAGCTCATCTTAGTTTACTTATCAGAGATAACTGGATTTTCATATGTTGCTTTAAGTGAATATGTCTTATATACATATGTATATTAAATATTGAGTAGAATAAGGTCCACTTCTGAATTTGATATGCAGCTCTTACAAGTTTTATTACTTCCAAGCCAGTGATAGTGTGTATCTGCAGCACATCACTGGGCAATAGGGCAGGAAGTGGACCTCGTCCAAAGGATGTGGCCACCTGTTTTCTGTGGCTAGTGAACTGTCGTCCACCTCCTTCATCTCCAGGTCTCAGACAACCCAGGAGATGAGCCCTCAGAGTCTCCATATGAAAGTGCAGATGAAACACAGACCGAAGCATCCGTCTCATCTAAAAAGTCTGAAAGAGGAGTAGCTGCCAAAAAGGAGTACGTGTGTCAGGTGAGGGCTAGGCGGTGTCTGATGTGTTGGTGAGGGCTTCTCCTGAAGTTCCAGAAGGGCAGAGTGAGTTTCCAGCATCTTCTTCTTTCAGACTTCTCCTTTGCCCCATTACCACTCACAGATACATCTTTCGAAAGGGTTAGCCCATTGGCAGAATTCTGGTATTGTTGCCTAAGTTAACATTATTCATTGTCACGTGGGATGTGTTTCATGTACAGCATAAGTATACATGTGGTGGTTTGAAGTCATACTTAGGAATGTGTGCTATAAGAGGTAAGGTGCTAGGGTGATGTGGTGCCCTTGCTGCTTACTTAGTTCACTGGGTAGACCAGTCATGGGCTGGGATGGTATAATTAGTCCCATATCCCTACAGTGCCCTACCTGTGTTGGATGTTGCATTGGTGGTCTTAAGAAAGCTACTCACGTCTGTGCCTTAGTCCTGCACCATTGTGTGGTACAGTCTGTGACAGTATCCATGTGAGACTGCTGATTTGTTGTCCATAGTTGCAAAATGGCTGACAGTCAGCTCTGTGGCTGCCATCTGTGGAAGATGACTGACTTATGGTAAAAATATGCCATGGATTTGGGGTTTTTAGTTTTTCTGTTTTTGACAATCATGTTTGATTTAAAACACCGTGAATGTATCCCTCGTGGTTTTGATCTTTTGTTTCCTTAGCCCTTGCTGAGGAGGGACTGCCATCTTTGTGTAACTTGACACAGCTGCAGACTCTAATCCCACTAGGCATTTTACTGTGTGCAGGTGGTTATATTCATTTGTGTGCCAGAGATGGAGTCAAATTCCCCATGTGGTGAGAAGAGTACTGAAAGCCCTCTGACTAGGTGTAGGTTCATGCCACCCTCTGTTCTCCACAGTTGTGTGAGAAGACAGGCAGCCTCTTGTTGTGTGAGGGCCCCTGCTGTGGAGCATTCCACCTAGCCTGCCTTGGACTTTCCCGAAGACCAGAAGGAAGATTCACCTGCACTGAATGTACCTCAGGTAAGTTCCAACTTCTGAAGCTGGGGGAGTTGTGTGTGGGAGTTGGTGCCACTTGTCCCTTTTTTTTCTGTGCTTCCTTAAGTTGTATGAGACATTTGTCAGAGAACCAGTCCCACACATACTCGCTCAAAGGTTGTATGATTCTAAGTTCGTCCACTGTACTGTGGGCCCTACTACTTAAATGACAGTATCATGGGCAAGTAGTTGAGGATACAGTGACTGATGGAGTGAGGGAATAAAGGGCTGTGTACTTTTCCAAACCCTTCCCGTGGGCTAGTGTAAACCTTGCTCTATAGGTGGCAGTTACAGAGCTTTGCGTTTTCAAAGTCCTGGCTGTCATTCTGAGCTTCACTTTCAACAGCGAGAACTTAACTGAGGGCCTAGTGCTTTTGCTCTACCACCATTGTAGTGCCTCAGGGTTCGTCTTAGAATCTAGGGTCACAGTGGGAAGAAGACTGGCCGCACAGTGACCCCTGCTCCCTGCTCCCTGCTACCTAGGCCTGAGAAGAGTCAGGCTGCCCAGACAGCCCGGCAGCAATCCCACACGCACACTTCAGATGTCAGTTTTCTACAGCCATAGCAAGTCTTTGCTGGATTGGTGAGTGGGCCAGGAAGAAGAAAGACTTTCCTGTATTTCAGGTGAAGTTGGAGATTAGATGACAGCAAACTCAGATGACTGGACTTTTTTTCTGAAGAACACTTAGCAACACAGGCTGCTCCAGAAAAGTTGCTTGGTTTTAGTTGCTCAGAACTGCAATTTAACTCTTGTTCTCTGCACTTTTCTCTCACCCTTTCTCTAACCACTTGTTAGGGATTCACTCATGCTTCGTGTGTAAAGAAAGCAAGATGGAGGTGAAGCGCTGTGTGGTAACTCAGTGTGGAAAGTTTTACCATGAAGCTTGTGTAAAAAAGTACCCTCTCACTGTGTTTGAGAGCCGAGGCTTTCGATGCCCTCTCCACAGCTGTGTGAGCTGCCATGCCTCAAACCCTTCAAATCCACGGCCATCCAAAGGTACAAATAGATGTGCCCTTTCAACTTGGGTTTGGGTTCACTCGAAATATATAGGTGCTTCTGAAGGTGGGGCCATTGATGCCAGACAAATGTCACCAGAGGTTATGAACTCTGATGGTTTCCATTATCTCCTGTTTTTCTGCTGACTCCTGAGTCACGCTTTTTTGTTGTTGTTGTTGTTCTGTAACATAAGACTTGTCCCCACTCCATTCTTTCCATATCAGTAATTTCAGATTCTTGATGTTCAGCAAAGGATACTACCTGAGCTATCTCTGGATTCCCTTTGCTCTTTTTGTTTGTTTTGGTATTTTTTTTTGGTTTGGTTTTTTTTTTTTTTTTTTGAGACAGGGTTTCTCTGTGTAGCTTTGGAGCCTATCCTGGCACTAGCTCTGTAGACTATACTGGCCTCGAACTCACAGAGAGATCCACCTGCCTCTGCCTCCCGAGTGCTGGGAGTAAAGGTGTGCACCACCAACACCCGGCCTGTTTGCTCTGCATGCATGCATGTATGTATGTATGTATGTGGGAAAAATCTATTTGTAATATAAGAGGTAGAACTCTGGGCTTCACATACTAGACAAGTGCTTCCACTGAGCTTCAACCTCAACTGGGAAATATTTTAAACTGAAATTACATATGTGGGAGATAAGGGTAGTTGTATGGGGTTTGAAAGGGCAGGTGCTATGTTCCTCTTGTTTCAGGGCTTCTCTGACAGAATACATTTAGTAATATTTAGGGGAAATATGCTATCAACATCTTCTAGGAAGGGTTTCAGGAGAAGCTCCTACAAATCAAATGCTGGTTAGTAGCTGGGTGGTGGTGGCACACACCTTTAATCCCAGTACTCAAGAGACAGAGTCAGGTGGATTTTTTGTGAGTTCAAGGCCATCCTGATCTACAGAACTAATTTCATCCA